GCTAGCAGCGCGCGGTGGGGGCTGCCAGGCTGGGATTGTTTGTTTGTTGTTTTACTTGGTGGGGGAAGGCGAATCATTGTTAGGAGTTTATTTATCGGTTATAGGTCGGGCAATGTCCACCCTGTTCCCGTCGCTGGAGCCGCGCCTGGTGGAGGCGCTGGGATTCTCCGCGGACGCGCTCTGCGAGGACGAGAGCGATCTCCTCAAGCGGGAGGCGCAGCACCACGCATGGGTACCCGGGGCGGGCGGGCGGGCGGGCGGCGTGGGGACACGGGTCACCACCCGGGGCACCACCCGGGGCATTCGTGGGGCACGGGTACCGGGGGCATTGGCAGATCAATCAGGGGGCATTGGTCCTGGGGCCATGGGCAAGACATTCAGGAGGCATGGGTACCGTGGGTATAGGCAGGGCGTTCGTGGGTCATGGGTACCGGGAATATGGGCAGGGAATTTAGGTGGCGTGGGTAGGGAAATCAGGTGCCATGGATACCAGGAGCATGGGTAGGGAAATCAGGGGCCACGAGCACCAGGAGCATGGGCAGAGGGCATGGGTGACATGAGCATGGCATTCAGGGGGCAGTGGTAACTTGGAGAGGGAAGCGGTGGGTGGGGCAGTCAGTGGCATTGGGTTTCTGGGGTGGCTTACTCAGAAAAATCATGGGTGATAGGGTATCCAGAGGGCATGGGTACACGGGGTTAGGCATAGAGATAACCAGCAGGGGGCATAGCCCTGTGTGTGGCAAGGAGTAGGTCCGGGTAACCCAGGACATGTCGAGTCATAGTCGCACAGACAACCGTTTTGTCAATCAACCACTGGACGATGACCTCTCCAACACGTGCCATTCTCGCGGGTTGATTTTGCCATATTTCACCACGCTGGTCCGTGCAGGTTGGTAAAGGCGGAGAGCATACATGTATGAAAAAATAAGAATAGGTTTTACCTTTTCTGCCAATAAAACAGGTGTTAAGATGTTCAGACACCAAATATAAACCTTTTGCAAGGAATGAAGTCTGCATTAACCACACGTACTTGTGGTGAACATGCAAACATGATCTGATATATGCATTGTTTTTTAAACTGATTGGTCTACACCAGAGAGTCTTCTTTAGAGCCTAGTCTCACCTGTTTCAGGCCAGAGATCGCCAAAAGGCGGACAGTACAAAGACAATGCACTATCACAGCATTTATTGCTTGGGGTGAGCAGCTACGAAATGGGACCTTTTTGCCCGTATCAAAGTGTGAAAAAATAAGAATAGGTTCTACCATTTATGGAAATAAAACAGGTTTTCTATTTGCTGTTTGAACATCTTAACACCTCGATTTAAAGCTTTCGTGACTGCAAGGATTCATCTTCTTGGTTCATCTTCTCGTTTCTTTTGGTAAAGTCACGTGTTATTGTTTTATTCTCATTCTACGTGACTTTACCGAAAGAACCAATAAGGTCTTAACACCTGTTTATTGCCAGAAAGGGTAAAACCTATTCTTATTTTTTCATACTTTGATACTGGCAAAAAGGTCCTATTCAGTAGCCTACATGTACTTTACAACAATAAATTTCACTCACTGCCATCTGATGCCCACAGCATATGCCTATGTTACCTTTTTGGAGTGTGTGGCAGACCTGGATAGTGGATACCATGAATGAAGAAAGGAAGGTTACTTTGAGTGTTAAGTGTCAACATGTATATCTCTCAATCTCCTATTTATTACATAATTTTTCCACAATATTCTGAAAGGCTGTTTTTTTGTGGTTGCAGCTCCGTGGCATCGCGGAATGTAACAGCAATTTGGTGCCAATTGGTAAAACAGCCTCGGAGGTACTCTACGTGTTTGCACACAGCATACTGAATTGTGTTCAAGATTTGATTTAAAAAAAAACATCTTTATATAACAGTGTCCCATGGTATGGGTTGTGTTATGTTTGACCAATTTCATGAATTAGTTTTTGGCTTCTGGGAAGAAACAGGGGTAATCTAAATAAAAATCCCATGCATGTGAGGGGGAAACATGCACATCTTCACACAAATAGTTTCAATAATCTTATCACTTTACATTTATCGTCCAACTCACACCCAACTCTCTTAACACTTTATATTCCCATGCAGCCTCCTTTCTTCTTAATAACCAGGCTTAACTCTGCTTAGTTCCCGGGATCTGATGAGATCGGATGCATTCAAGGTGATTTGGCCATAGGTAGTAACTCCGAGGTGGATTTTCCCCTCTCATACTGCAGACAGCACGGGGATGGGTTTAATCTGAACTACTTTGATACCTCGCCATGTGTGCGAAAGCATTACGAGGAAGAGGAAGAAGAGGAGGAGGAGGATGAAGACAGTGAGGAAGACTCTGACGAGGAGGCGGAGATAGACGACATGGACGAAGTCAACGGCTACACAGACTCCCCAGATGATGCAGAGATCAACGAGGTGCAGAGAATGGGATGTGTTTTTGAATGCTGGATTTTCTTCATCATCACAGCATAAATATAAACAAAACCTGGCTACATAAAGTTAATTAATTTCCTGTTGCACATCAATTCACTGTTTTATAAAGAGACCATTGATAATTATTTGCAAGGGAAATGTAGTTTGCAAATTAATAGTGAACCTTTCGAATTGTATTATAGCTGTGGAAAAGTATTCACATTTGTGATAAAATACAGCTCACAGTAGCGTGTAGTTTGGAGTTGTGTCACATGGCCTTTAACGTAATACTTTGTTGTCCAAAGGTCGACATGGAAGGGAATGAAGACCAGGATCAGTGGATGATATGAAAGCGTCCTCCCACATATGGAGTCAGTGCATTGTGCTGCACTGCTCCGAGTCCTCTGGGTCAAATTGACAGTTCCTCAATCTCTGGTAACCTCTTACGCCACATGTCCACTTCCTAATACTACTGGCTAAGCCGCTACCTGGGGAGTAGATGTAACTTAAGGGTTAGCGTGGTGATGTATGCCTGTATGTGGTTTTTTTTCCAGTGGCTCGCCATGCAACAGTGCATGATGAGTGAAGCTCTTTATCGTGTGTCGATTACTGCTACGTCTTCATGAAATTTTATTTTTCTGCAATGAGTGGACTGTGACAAGAGTAAAAGAGGTCAAGAGCTTTTTGTTATCTCTGGAAAAAATATCACCCTTCAGAACTGTGCATTACACAATAGAAAAAATACGAAAAAGTGTGTGAATCGGCGAAGTATTGTCCCAAAAATGTATCTTTGCAAAAGTGAATATATTGCCCAGAGGGATTCTAAGTTTTAATGGCGCTGATAACAGTTGATATATTTATTTGTATTTTGTATTACAGTATGTTACACATATACGTGTAATTTTTTTTGAGCCCGTTTGATATGTAAACCCTAAATAAATGTTATTTTATTGTAATGTAAAGAGCTTACACATTTTCCTGTGCATATTACAAACACTATACCACTCTCGTGGAAACGAATTTCCTTCCAAACTGTTTACAGCACAATTACAGTAGACATTGACCAACACTTCGAGCACTGGGAAAATGGATCATCAACACATTCGATTTTCTAAATAAAGACCATTCAGCGGCAACAATGGCACAAATTGCCTCAATGCCAAAGTGCTGGTACATGCTTTGTGCATTACCAACAATGAACTGTTAATATCTAAGTACATTAATACTGAGTGTCAGTCGTAGATTTGTATGAAGCAATGAAAAAAAGGGGTCATGAAATAATTATTTTATGAGCACAAAAGACAACGCCAAATGGAGAGCGGTGGTGTGGACGAATTCGCACACAACGGTACAAAGATGACGTGATTTATTTGTGTTGGTGTTCTTTTTGATTGCCCCTGATAATAATAATAATGAGCATTCTAAACTCCACATTCAAATGTTCCCACTACATGGCAGATTGGAAAGCAGCCACATGAGCAATACAAAATGGCTGTCTAATTAATTGGTGCACACATCAAATTAACTGATTATTATAAGTTTTAATTGGTCTGCATTGATGTAATTGAATCATTGTAGTCTATTAGTATGATAATACATTCCATTTTGTTTACCGCTGGTGTTGATGTACAGGCTATTGAATGAGAGAAAAGCAATGCATCTTTTCTGAGAACAGCCCTAGAGCGGTGGTTCTCTAAGTGTGATCCCCGAACCACCAGTGAGTGGTCTCCGATGGCCTCCATGTGGCCCACAGGCTGTGATGCAAATGCAGAATTGATGACACTGTTTTACTTATATTCTCCGGGTCTTTCGGTAAAGAAACGTAGATAGAAAAAAATAATCAAAATTATAACAATATCACGACGTTTCGATCGCAACACAAGCAATCATCTTCAGGTGAAAAAAGAGGGGAAAATCTGCCGAGGCAGGCTGTTTATAAAGGTTTAGAGATGGGCGGGGCAGCAAATGTTAATGTAGGAGAGGTCTCCGTAACCTTCAGTCGGTCTACACCAATCAAAGAGCTGTTTACAAATGGTTTAGAGATGGGCGGGGCAGCTAACGAGCCGTGGGGGGTGGCCATTGTGAGAGATGAGAATGTCAATGTAAGAAATTTGACGCTCGGCGAGAGCTCGGACAGTGCAATGGCCACATGGAGGTGGAAAAGAATCAATTTACTAACACAGCTAACGGTGGCCGTGTCACATTAACATGCTAATCTCTCACAATACAATGGCCACATGGAGGTGGAAAAGAATGGCAAGCCGCCATTTACTAACACAGCTAACGGTGGCTGTGTCACATTGACATGCTAATCTCTTACAATACAATGGTCACCCCCACAGCTCCGTTTAAGTGCCTCTCCCACATTGGCATTCGCTGCCCCGCCCATCTCTAAACATCTATAAACAGCTCTTTGATTGGTGTAGACCGACTGCAGGTTACGGAGACCTCTCCCACATTAACATAAGCTGCCCCGCCCATCTCTAAACCTTTATAAACAGCCTGCCTCGGCAGATTTACCCCTCTTTTTTCACCTGAAGACGATTGCTTGTGTTGCGATAGAAACGTCGTGATTATTATTTCGATTATTTTTTTCTATCTACGTGGCTTTACCGAAAGACCCAGAGAATATGAATTCCTGCAGTCACGAAAGCTTTAAGTAAAAATTTTACTCAAACTTAATAAAAAATATAAAGTTAGGTAACCTACCATGATTAAACGACTCTAAGTTTAAATGCCCCCCCCGCCCCCCCCTGGGTGGTCCGCAATAATGTTTGCATTGGCTGTGTGGGCCCGTTACTTTTAAATTACAGACAGCACTTAGGGGTAAAGATTACACTAATTACTCAAATTACAGCTCTAGCAATACTAGCTGGTGGGCTTTTCTCAAACGCACACCTTAGTCACTCGTTTAAACAGGTTTAAATATAAATTCTGATGGCCTCGGTTTGGCTCTTCAGTCAACCTCTTCAAATAGTATTAGCCAGCCAACCTGAGGCAGATTGACAAGCGGTACAGCACGTGCTCTGATGGCTGCAATTTGCTGCATTAAACCTGTAAATGCATGCAGCGCTGCACGTTCACCAAGCGTGGGTTCATTCAAGGGAGCAGGTAAGATGAACCCTCCTCTGGGCGCACACTGTGGGATCGACCATCGACGGCAGCTCAACATAGGCGACGACGTGAGACCTCGCAGGGCTGCCTCGGCACGGCGAGAGCACGTGCAGAGGGCAGCCGTAGACCGGGAAGAGACGAGCCGTGGCTGCTTCTCCGCTGCAAGCAGTTCCCTTCCTCCCGAGTGAACCGGCGCTTCTGGAGGTCGTCCTCTCCATCGGCCGTTGGTTATTCTGGAACCTGCCTTCCATCCTTTGCCTGTGGCATTTGGTTGACTGTGCGCGCCTTCCCTCCGGCAGTTCCATGCTCGTGTCTGAGGCTGTGGCCGTCGTCGCGTGCAGTGTACCTGCCCAGGGGTCTTGGTGGTGGCGCGATTCTTGGGTCCCATCCGACCAGGCCTTGACGATCAGTGCGTCTACCTCCGCCCTTGTTTTCCACGCTGCCCCTACTGTCCAGCTGCCACCACTGCTGTTGCTTGTCGCTTGTGTGAGCGTGGCGCAGCGTAGCCATACAAGGGGCATGGTGCAGGGTTGTGCGGAAACGGTCTCTTGAAGCGCACCGAGTCGTGTATCCCACAGAGCGTTGTGCAGGTGCAGCCCCGTCAGGTAAACTCCTTCTGCAGGGGCAGCGTCTGGTGCAACAAACCCACTCAGAACCTGTACCCAACAGGAAAAAAAATGGCATTAATGATGAACAAAGGGACTGCATCAAGTGGTGCACAAATGAAAAAAATCGATTATTCATTATCGCTGCCTTATAACTAAAGTTCTGGCAAATGACCCTCCGGGAGAGCACAAGGGAAGGACCACATCCAGTGTTGGCCTCGCAGGTAAAAGACTTCATGATAAATGTGTTGAGGTCTTTACATTTATTATCAGGCCTATGCATTCAAGAAACATTTGTTATAATGTAGGTGCAGTATCTACATAATCGTAATTTATTAAAAGTACTGGCATATCGCATTGTGACCTTGGTAGACACTTCATTATTGGCCCACAGGCCTGGCTTCCGTTCAGGAGATAAAATAAAGCAATACTGCGGTCCATTTGTGTATGGATGGTTAACAATTGGATTAACCACCTGTTTTGATGTGCTGTCTTATGCAAAAGTAGAGGTAATGTCTCAAAAAGCAGATACGGTTTAATGGGCAACACTGGGGCAGCTTAACACTCAGATGATGCACACATTCCATAGCACAAATAGTTCGAATTTCTGTACATATTAAGGATCATGCATTAAGTCACCTGAGGTACACCACTGATAACTTGGGGTTTTTTATATCCCAAAATATTGTATTCTCACATCATAAAAGAATACAGGTACAACTGCATAGCACACACCAGTAAATTGAATTAAAATATAATTCAACACAATATGTCAATAACACATCGGAGAAAGAAGAGACAGCTATTTTTGTTATTTGCGTTTGTGCAGGACCAACAATACAGCATCACTCAAAAAAATCGTACATTATAATTCATTTGGCAAAAAATAAGTTCACTGTTTCGAATGAACATACAAATAACTGCGGTCATGTCCAAGCTTTTAGCGTAACATCATACACGTGCAATTGACAATGAATGATTTTTTAGTTGACCACTTTTATTTCAAAGACGCACGTCACGGTAAATCACAAGCCAACGCACAATCACCAAGATCCACTCTGCAACCGCTATGAACGAGTTCTCCAAGACATCTCGGTCTTTTTTTAATTAACTAAGTGGGCTTATGTGAAACCGGTCAAAGCACTGCTTTGTTGTGATTAGTTTGTTGTCCTTCCCCTGCACCTCGTATGAGCACGGTTGATTACATATGGTGCGAAAGAAATTCTAAATACAGTTCTACATACAATAAAAATTGTCGATACCTTTTTTGGATGTGGTATGGAAACGGGTCCACTTTCCGAAACATATAGTTTTCAGTTTTATGAGCAGATTTCATCAGTGACAACCATATTTCATCGCTGTTTAATTTTTTCAGCTAAGTTAAATAAAATAATGACGACATCATTTGCATGCTTGTCTGAAGTGACTGAACAAATCAATCAAAATCGTCAGATTTTGGAACCTTCACAGGGTTGAGCCTGGATGGTGCTAGGATACAGAAGCCTCATGCACAGCAGGTGTTACACAATGTAGGGCTAAATTGTGGACAGCAGAGGACAGTGCAGCACAATCCATTGTTATACTCAACTTCTATGCTCCAAATATCTATGCTCAGCTTCAACAACCCACACTGACCAGCGTGGTAAAGTATGGTCAAAACAACCTCAACAACCTGCTCCATGTTGGGTAGCCCTCATTTAGTAGTGGACTACAACTATTACTACTACTGTATTTAGTCTCACCTGTGCATGAAGCACGCATCGATGCGGAAGTGTTTTCTCCTTGTACGCCGCAATTCTCATCAAGGAGATAAGGAACGTCTCCGGTCTGGAGAGCGCGGCGAGGTTGTACGAGACCACGTGGTCCGTGGCTGCGTACGCGCTCAGCAATTCCGACTGCCGGCTGAGCAGCCGCACCACAGGCTCTGTGTCTGACTCGCGACAGCCGCCCAGGGCCCAGGATGGAGCCGCCTCATCCTCCTCATCGTCTTCTTCCACAAGCGGACACACTGACCGTTTCCATCCATCTTCTGACCGCAGTGACCACGCTCCTTGGAACGGCGCCATCGCGTGCAAACGAAAATCTTCGAGCTGCGATCGGAAGAATGACTTCAACGAAGGCTGAGTTCCCTCCACAGAGGATGCAAGGCCTGTGTGCGTTTCGTCCTCTGTTTGCCCAGGTTCTTTGGCCATGCACGCGTGGCCTCCTAAATACTCTGAGTGGCTGTCCACGGCCAACCTCGGCAGCCACCGACGTTTCGGCCCCGGGTGGGAGGCTGGCGTGGGCCAGTTGTCAGAAGTGCACAAGCGGAGTTGTTCCTTTGCTTGGTGGCTGCGTTGCCTGGCAACCTTCTCCTTTGTGCCGTCGCACAGTCCGAAATTGGACGGCTCTGGCTCAGTAAAGAAGCCCAGCTCAGAGGCAGAGAACGACGATGATCCTGGGAGTGACGGAGAAAGAAAAATAACAATTGTTTAACTGTAGTACACCATAACATCAATGCCTGTCCACTGACTTGATCCACGCTGTCACTTAAGACAAATTTAAGCCAATTCAGTAAAAATTTTTTATCTGGAACAAGTTAATATATTTGATATCACCAACACAATAAATGTTTAGCTTTATGTCTGGTAGTTCATGTGAATTTTATTATTGTACATTGATCAGGATTGTTCACCAGATGAGGGCATTGTGTGTTTTGCTGTGCTTCAATTAGCAAATTGGTCCTTCATTTAAAACATAAAAATTATCCTTAATAGAGGTTTTTGGGTTAGTTCTCGTAAAGGGTTGTCACGTAAACAGAACGTGCCAATTCATCACTAGTACAGCACACCGTTGTGTTGGAGAGTCAAACCATCATTTACAAACTGAGTATGACGTTTCGCCAGCAATTACAATTAGCTTCAGAAAAAAATGCTCCTATAGTAAATGGAGGGTGTTCTCTGGGCAAAAAAACTAATAAAAGAAAACATTTCATCTGGATGATGATAATTGTGAAGACAATGATGAAAACAATAATAATGACATCCATTGACTGATGCCCTCTAGGCAGGTGAGGGCTCGATATTCATTATCCTTGTGTGCAGACCTAGGATCCTATAATTAGACATTGTCTTGTCATTTAGTTGTGGAATATATTCCAATTTGGAAAACGTGCCATATATACGAGTTTGACATGGGTGTCTGTCAAGAGCTACCTGCTGCGGCCGTGAGTGCACGGACGAACGCGTACACCCCACCAGCATGCAAGGCACCGCCCGGTCTGTAACTTGGCAGGCAGTGCTTTACGATGCTCTCAACCACCTCCAAGTCTTGCCGGTGTGTGATGTACCCTCCATACACGACCGAACCTGGGCACAGCAAGATGTGACTGAACAGACAACAAAGATCCCCCGTATAGCTTTAACAGGCCTTTTGGGCAACTACTGTTAGCGAGCACCAATCGTAATCAAAATCTTTATTTATGAAGGCCGACACGGGAGAAGAGGGAGTGGTGCGGTGACCACGTTTGTCTCCCCAGTGCTTATGTTTCTACACTACACCAGGTACCAATTTGAGGATAGGGGGAGGCCCAGGCCTGGTTCAGATATTCACCGCTGATGATGGACAAATTCGTAGCACAGTGAGTCAACTACTACACTGCCACTCCCTACACAGACACAAATACAGTAACCAATCGCCATCCTGTGCCACTGAACTCTCTTTCGAGGTCTCCCCTCATACCTCTCCACCCTATTTACTCTACTCACGACAACAAACCGTCGCGTTCTACGGGTCCTTCCAACAATCTACCGATTGTATCCAGAGCCAGTACAGCGATACCTCGACTTTCTCGTCCACTTGACTTTCTTCGCTCCGCTCTTTCGGCTGTTTTCAATTATAACGTTTCAAATTTCCTCTTTCGTACGATTTTATCCAACCTTCCACGACGTTCGTGCCACGCGCCATTTTTTGTTCAATCTTTTAATAGAATTTGTTCAGCGAGCATCTCTTATATTTGTGTTTATTCGTATATTATTAATTAGGCTTTTGCCCATCCAAGGACGGGTGTATTGCAGTAAATATGAAACTTGCAAGCAAAAAGCAGACCACGACGTGATATTCATTGCATCAATGCGTGTGCAATTTGTAAGGACGCGGTGACACAAACCTATTTTATTTTAAGGTTATAATCCCTTGTTCATCATTACGTCCTTTTTACTTCTATGTCTCAATAGCGTTACGGAGGTCACGTGACGTGAAGGTTCTGCCTTTGTTGTGAGGGTTGTCAGTTGACGCTGAGGAGGGAGGAGGAGACGCCTCGGCCTCCCATGTGGAGTGACGTCAGCCGCTAATTATGAATGGGGGGGTGGTGTCCATTTGGAGGACGTCACCTTATAATGATTATTAATGAGGGGGGCTGGTCGATGTCGAGTGAGGTCACGAGAGTTAAGGACATTCCTGGGTGATTATAGTAGGTATATATACTGTACTTATTTCTGTGATTATACTGTAAACAATTCATAGTTATTTTTGTGATAACAGTATAATACTACAGTGTTCATAGTTATTTTCGTGATTATAAAACACGTGTACAGTATTCATACTGTGCTTATTTTTGTGATTACTGTGAAATACTATTTTGTGCTTATTTAGTTTTGTTTAATTTTCGATTTAAAGTTTTCGTGACTGCAGGGATTCATCTTCTTGGTTCTTTCGGTAAAGTCACGTGACTTTACCGAAAGAACCAAGAAGATCGTTTTGTTTATTTATTCTTATATTCTTTGGGTCTTTCGGTAAAGTCAGGTAGATAGGTTCAAAGAAAATAACAAAACACTACGACGTTTCGATCGCAACACAAGCGGTCGTCTTCAGGAAAAGGGGGGTTAGCTTCCAAAGGCATACGGGTTTGAAATGGGCGTAGCCCAAATGTCAGCAGCCAATGTTCATGCAAATTGTGGGCAGCCAACCCGACGGTGGTTGGTTTTCCACCAATCAAAGGGCTGCCAGGTGAAAATTAGCATGTTAATGAGAGATTAGCATGTTAATGGGAAATCGCAGAGCCGCAACTGAGGGGTAGTCGGCGCGCGAAGTGGTTGTGTTGGTGTGAATCCTGTGAAAGCGCAAGTTTGAAATGGGCGTAAAGCACAACTAACATCGGAAGATGGTAGGATGGGAACATCATAGCCAGTTATGATTTAAACTGGTTGATAACATCCTTCCAATGATTGCTCGGTTTGTACCCAAGCCCTCAAGATGAAGCTGTATCCCCAACCATGGGGAGAAAACCATCCGAGGACCCAATCAAAACCATCACCTTGCCATACATAGCAGGTGTTTCCAAAAATATTTCCAAAATCTTGAACAAACACAAGATCCAGGTTCGATTCAACAAAATACACAAAATCCGTGATTTGATCCCATCTGTGAAGGATGTGATTCCTGACATGCAATACCCTGGTGTCTATGGACTAAGTTGTGTATGCGGTAGCAGTTACATTGGGGAAACAAAACGACATGTCTCGGACCGTGTTCGCGAACACAAGGCAGATTTGAAAGATGGCAGAACCAATACCTCTGCCATGGCTGATCACTGTTTTAACGCGGTGGGTTCACACGATATTGTTTTTTTCCGAGACCAAGGTACTCTGCAAACCATCGGGCTACAATCAAAGATTTGTCCATCAAGCCATCCAGATATATAAACACAGACACAACTTCAACCGAGAAGATGGGTACAAACTGAGCAATCATTGGAAGGATGTTTCCAGCACCACACCCAGCAGTCTTTTTTTTTCTCTCCATTGCATACGCTGTTGACCACACTGCAAAATATACTTATATTGGTTTGTATCGACCGAGGTGAATAGGAAGGTGGGCTGAGATAGTAATGGTCATTTTTTTTTAAGCCTAGATACTTGAAAATTATTTTAAAGAGCATAGAACTTATTTGCGAGCATGCAAGTACACATATACAAACGCCCTTCATAGTGAAAGAGAAATTCGGTTGAATAAAGTCACATTTCTCCAGCTGAGGCTCACGTATATTTCAGCAATGATGACCACTTACCCAAGAGATACTCCAGTGCCGCAGAAAAATCCTGACATGTTTCGTTAAGGTGAGTGAATAGATTCAGCGCCATGATCAGATCTGACCGTGACCTTAGTTGGGAACAAAATACAAGTGATTAACAAATAGTATTACTAGAAAAAGAGAATTGTTATGTGCATTAGGTGCCAATACATTTTAAACATTAGTGAAATGTGGAAGAGAAGGCCTACTATATCGTTCCATTAGAACCCTTTGTCAATACACTGTTTGGATGAAGGTCTCCTCATGCCGTGTTGGTCATGGTGATGGTTTGACCATACGTGTTGGTCAGTGTGCGTTGTTGAAGGGGGAGGCCCAGACCCAGTTCAGATATCACTCGACATTGATGTTAGCCATGTTCTAGAATCAATGGGTTTTTAGCGCAGTGCAATTACCACTGCGCCACCACTCACCTCACCCACAATAAATACACACAACAGTACACAGAATTACAAATTACAAACATGCATAACAATTTTAAACACAAAATGATACCTACATACAAAATACACAGGTATATGAAATCCCAATGCAAATATAATGCATATCTAGAGAGCAGTTATAGATAAATGTATCTTTACAAGATTTTCCAAGGGTTTTCAGGTGACATTTAAAAACAATTTAACACGTAGGCTTTCGCGACCAATATTATCCATAATAGAGGTTTTTGGGTTAGATCGCGTAAATATATAAATGTGTCGCTAAAACCCGCCACCACCCGACACAGCCAACTAGTAAGGGTTGGCTCTCCAACACACCGGTGTGCTGTACTTTTTGACGAATTGGCATGTTCTGTTTACGTGACAAAAAAAAACCTCTTAAGGATTTAAAAACAAGTTGCACATTTTCATCTCAAGCCAAGAAATCACTTAAAAAGTTCAGGAAACAGTTATAAATTACTCAATTTCACCACTCCAACATTCAACATCCTTATCCCTGGGATTTGGTGAAAGATTCAGAAGATCCGGTTTAAAAAAATGTCCTATCTTCCATGGAGTTTGGTGTTTTAAAACTAAAAAACACTGATCTCAGTTAGCATCAGCAACTATATTATACTCATGAGTCCTAAAAAGGACAAAACTAGTCAGAAGTTGTCTCTCTCTCTGTCACTGCTGTCTGTCATTGAGTAAGATTTAGCCAAATGTATTTTATGGTGACCTAAGACAAGAGAACCACAATGCAATGCTTCAGGAACGGTGTTAATGGCTTTTACATAATGTAAGAGGCTGAGCTTATTGTACACGGGTTTGTGCGTTACTTGATACGTATGGTGTGAGAGACGCACCACGAATACGGGCGCACGACCGCCGGGCGTCCGTAGCCTCGCCTGTGCAGTAGCACGGCGTGCAGGCGGGCCAGTGCCGTTGACCAGTCACGAGGGTGCGCAGCATGCCCGGTCCCCCGTGTCGCCTGTGCCGCTGTCACCCTCCGTCCCTCCCAGCTGACCGCCCTCGCGACGCCTATGTTGCTCGGCTCGCTGGTCTCGACGCAAGAAAGGCAGCTTGCCAGCTTGCTCGCGAAACGTGGCTGCGCACGGCACACGAACCTAAGTGCTCGCTCCAACACGATGCCTGTGGCGGTGAAATGTGTTTCAAGGAAAAGCAAAGCAATGTTTCAGGCAAATATGCAAAATTTTCCAAGGGTGTCAAAAAATATGCCATGTCAACCACCACCAGTGCGAGGGTGACTTTTGGTCCGCACCTCCGATGAGCACGGTTGACTACGTACGGTGTGAAAGACGTTCAACATACATACAGCAAGCCAGCATATTACTAACATTCCAATGATTAACAAGTAATTTGAAGTGGCCGAGTGGCCAAGAGGTCAGAGTGCTAAGCCCAGCACTGCTGAGATCCTGGACCTGATTTCAGTTACCCATAGTTAAAATTGGTTCTAAAGCATGGCAAGTTCATGGGCTCAGACCAATCACCAATTAATTCAATAAAATACACCTTTGAGAGAGAAGACGTTTTATTTCTAAGCCTCTATGTGTCTCCCACCAATCACAATTCACTTGTTAAATCTTTGAACATACTCTATGCTGTAAGATATGGAGCTGTCACTTTCACAGTATTCAATGGCCTATTGAGAAGAAAGAGAACCATTATAAATTAATGGGGTATCTATACATGGAATAGACTGCAATATTCCATGGCTGTCAAGGAAGTGCGCAGAGATACCAAGCACCTGGCAGACGTGCGGCGCTGTCCGTTGTGGCAACGAGCCACAGCCTGAAGTCAGGGTGGACACGAGCATCTTCCTGTCCCAGCACGGTCTCGTCTTCTGCCAACATAAACACACGGCTCGCGCATCATCTACCCCGATGACATTATCGCAAATACCTCGGTGACAATCAAACAGTGTCATTTCACTCACAATCTCCAACCAGTAGCGTCAAAACTAACGGCAACATCGTGACCGCTGCTGTGAACTGCCAGGTCACAGTCTTCACCCCCTGCCACGTGGATTTGATGAATCGTCATAATTCACCAACATGATTTGTTTCAAGAATCAATTGTTTTCTTCTGCCTCATTTTAACCAATCACCTGTATTGTTTATCGCAGTTCCTGGCACATTGCTACAGCTTTGTATCCCCCCCCCCATTCGCCTAAATGTAACATTAGAATATCATTCGGACATCATTTGCATAAATTATGCATTCTTATACATGCAATTCTATGCATGCACCTTGAGTGTAAATATTTATTTTAATTGATGAATCGCTTCATCCTTTCACACCAGCTATTCACAGTCGTGAGCCACCTGCAGGTTAAACAATTATCATAAGCTCTGATCTATCTACTCCACCGCTGGATGAAGGTCTCCCCAAGCCGTTTCATGATACAACAAAATCTGGCTTGTGCCTGCATATCAGTTGATCCTCTTCTCCATCTCCTTGGTGGTCGTCCTCTCTGGCGTGTTCCTTTCTTTGGCTACTACTCGACATTAGCCTTGATTGAGCGCTGGCCATCATCCCATCTAGCGACGTGTCCTGCCCAAGCCCACTTCATTTTCTTCACAGTCAATACGTCTCTCAATTGTGTTTGCGCGCCAATCCATGCGCTTCTCTCCCCGTCTCTAATGCAACTCTACACGAGCATACCTCTCCACGCTTCTTTGAGCACGTGTCACATTGTTCCATTCTCTTTGCCGGCGACCGTGTTTCCAACCTGTACGTCGTGGCGACTAACGTGCACTGATGTGAAAACTCTCACATCGCTAAGCGTACGCTACGCGCTGGCTGTGAATATCGCGGCCGTAACCGCACGTTACCGCTGGCATTGCCGCGCACCGCACCTCCGTGGGTGAGCACTCGCTGCAGCAGCGACGCGGCGCGTGGCGGCCAGTCCCGCGGTGCGTGGCACAGTCCGTGCAGAACGAGCCACAGGCCCCGCTCGGCGCAGAGGTTCACCTCCTCTGCCAGCCGCTCCGCGAGCCGCTCACCTCTCCACCCCAGCGACAGCATCCTCACCGTGCGCTGCTCACCATTCAAAAGCATCGTTTTCTTTCCTCCCTGCTACTTAGTTGTAGCCCCGGGGTTAGGGTGAGGAGTTAGGGTTCGGTTAAGGGGGTGCGGTTCAAGGTTATGCATAAGGGTAAGTGGGTAGTGGTTAGGGGCATGGGATATTACATTGGTGAGGACAGTTATAGGCCCTAAGAGATCCTATAAAAACCTAATACTATACTCTCCCAGGCATCTGCTGTGGCTCCAACAAAGGTATTATGTATTTTTCTCACTGCCTTTGTACAACGCTGTTAGACGTCTAAGTCATATCTACACATTTTGACACTATATAGATTTTTTTTGCCAATTAGTATTTAGATGTTTTTTCATCACGTGGGAAAAAGCCGGGAATGGCTCTGAGAATACCGCCACATATAATTGAACGAGAGTAAAGTTGTTGTTTGTACTCGGGTCATTATGCACTTTGTTAAAAGACATTCGGGATTTGGCTTCAATTGAGATTTTTAAGTCTCAACTTAAAACATTCCTATTTCAGAAAACGTTCACCTAATTTTATATTCAGGCTCTTTCCCTCCTTTTATTATTACCATTTGTAAATGTGATTGATAGCTTTTTATTCTTACTGTTTGTTTTATGCATATTGTGTACAGGGCTCTGCGTTCCATGGATGAAGGGCACTATACGAGTCTAATTTATCATTATGTATGTGGTTCATCGACACCGTGGACACCCTTGAAAATAAAATATTCCATCTGAATGGATTTCCCAAGTGAAATATATATATCAATAAAATTGAGATATAAAAACTCAGCGCCAGTAGACAGTCAGAAACCTACTTCCTGTACTGCCTTCTGTAAGCACCACCTCTTTGCACTGTAGATGGATGTTTCACATATAAGACTCCCACCTATGACCGATCCACCAAACCACTCCACTATCAAGCTGAATTAGAGGCCATAATAGAGGCGTTTTTTTTGGGTTAAATCGCGTAAATATATAAATGTGTCATTAAAACCCGCCACCACCCGACATAGCCAACTAGTAAGGGTTGTCACGTTAACAGAACGTGGCCAATTCGTCACTAGTACAGCACACCGGTGTGTTGGAGAGCCAAGCCACAACATTTACAATCTGAGTACGACGTTTCGCCAGTAATTACAACTAGCTTCATCAGGCGAACAGCCAGATTTGTGGAGAAGTCCACCTGTTTCGTTCCTTATATAGAGGCGTAGATGTGGTGACCACGCTTCTGCGCTCTTGCGCAAAGTGGGGGGGGGGGGATTAATGAGTTAACATTATGCATGTGCATTATGCGTGCCGTTTGATCTTGTCCTTCCTGTCCATTGTGTGTACTAAAATAGCCGTACCAACGGTAATCCCTATTGAAGTATGGTGGCCTGTATCGGCGTGCATTTCAACAATGTATTATTTGATGATTCGCTTTCCACGCAGCACTAAGTCGATAGCTATCCGAACGGTTAAAATATTTTTATTTCTTTCAATTTCGATAGATTCTCTAATTAGTCTTGGCCAGTAGTAGCTAGTTTTGCACAGAACTTCAACATAATAAAAATCAATTGAGTGTCCTTGTTGACACGCGTGTCCTGCTGCTGCTGACAGTTGTATTTGGGAGTATTTTATATTTCTCTGATGTTCCATTAGTCTCGTGCTGATCATTCGTCCTGTTTGCCCTACATAGCATTTGCCACAAGTGCAGTTAATCCTGTACACACCTTCTGTTGATAGCGTCGGTAATACATCTTTTGTACCAGATATACATTTCTGTATTCTATGTACCGTGGCAAATCTGACTCGGATATTTTTTTCCCAAACATCTGGCTAGATTATCATTTACTCCCGCAATGTACGGTATTTTGATCGTTTTAATTGCTCGTGTTATTTGATTTGGTGTTAAACTGGATTAGAGGCGTTGGGATTATTTGGCTATCATGAAAAAAAAATAGACAACTATTATTGTGACTTGTGGGGAATCATAGTAATATTAAATCAGTGCAGTATCTTCTACCAACAGGGAAGTGTGCAAGGGAAAGCACTAGAGTGAAAACATATCATGAAATAGTTGTGGAAAATTTTCCGACTTGGGATTTGAACACATGGTCGCCTTTGTAAATTACATCCCAGGATCTTTAACATCAGTTCAGCAGAAAAGGACACACTGTCAAGGCTCAGCAACGTAATCAGACGACAGGATTCACACCACTAGGGCACTGCAACACTGCCTGATTGGTGAAGGTACTTATACGCACCAGGCTATGAATCATCACCACAGCAACGTATATGTTTCTGCCTCAGCTATTAAGTACGAGTTAATTGAAATTGTGTTAGGATGCCTTGCGTGTGATGTTAAACCATATGCAGTAATGGTGCACCTCAAAAAGACTGTTGAGGAAGGGAGCAACAATTAATGGCAACTATCCCTCTCCAATTCTGGTTCAAGACACGTAGATGAGGCATGGAGTTGCGTGCTGGAGATGGGGCATGGGATCAGTTGGATCCCATGCCCCAATTATATTATTTTTGAAGGGGCAATACTGAACCAACGTTACAATCGAGGGAGAGGTTCTTTTCAAGGCGTGTTCATAGGTGGCTGATGATGTGGTTTCACTCCTTCTTAATTGGACAAGCTGCCCTCAAGCGGCCTGGAGAGCTCACCTCAATGCCTTTACACTTGTCCTATTAGATTTTCTATTTCAACCGCATTGTGTGCTACCAATGTCATCAACATTCTGTGGCTCATCAATACAGACTGCTGTGTTTCTCCCAAATCAAGTACACTGTGCATATTAATGCCTGTCTTGAAAACTCACCTCTTTAAACTAGCCTTTACCCCTAGTCCTGGCCGTTTACCCTGGTTATCTTTATTCACTGCTTTCCATACACAGGGCGCATTGGGATCTAAGGATGAAATGGGCCTTACAAATGTAAATTATTTTTAAAGTGACACTGTTGCTGCCCCAGAGACAATATTTGAAATAAGACAAACACAGAGAGAAGTTGATGGTTGAGCCACATGGCTCTCCTCTGGATGCAGGTGCTATTACACAATTCTTTTTTTGAATAAAAACCTAAAACAAAGCAGAGTAAACCTATGCGAGTTATACCAGTGTGGAAAATGCAAAATAAGTAAACGCTCGCCTCAAAATTGTCGCCTTCCCATGCGTCATTCTGCTCCTCACCTGTGCACTGCCACTAAGTTCCTGAAGGAGCTGCATCGGCCCAACATCCGCGGTGTCCACCTCCTCCACCAGCAGTAGAACAGCCCGAGAACGGTTCGACGGTGCCGCAGCCAGCATCTCTGCCAGACTTGGCACATTCCGCTCTGCCACGTCCCCGCCCAGCCGGCTCACGGCCACGGCCGAAATCACGTCGGCAACACTGTCCGGGCGGAACGCTGTCCACAGTACAGCTCTCTGGAAGATGTCAAGATGCTCAAGCTCACGGGAAGGGAGGGGGCCCAGGAGGGTCGTGCAGCCACCCCGGCGAACGCCACCGCTGTGGCCGAAATACTCGCGCCACGCTCGCTCGTCCTGGGCCAGGCACCGTCGGAGATCGTGGAAGTGCGGCAGGCGTTTCTCCAACTCATAGCACGTCTGCCACAGCTCACGGGGAATCCATCCTGGCCGCTCCCTGTGGTCCGATGGCACCGCCCCTTCCTCGCCCTCCCTTCCAAAGCCCTCTTCCTTCTCATCGCCCTCCACTTCACTGCGATCCTCATCGGCCAACATTCGAGCGAATGACGTCAGCTCTGCAGCGCTCGCATTCAAGTCTTCGGCTGCGATCAGGAACGCGAGCATTCTGGCGTGCGCGTGCAGCATGCCAGGCGCGACTTGCGCGTACAGCTTCTCTGTTAGCGTGTGGATGAGCTCCAGCGCTCTCACTTCAGGCACCGACAGCGCGGTGCCGTCGGCGAACACGCGCGAATCGCGCGCCGGTAACGCCCGCTTCACGGAGCTCAAAAACTCCGCTGCCGGCATGAAGTACAGAGCGTTCAAGTGGGCGGTGCGACGAAGCGCCGTGAAAATGGCAACGCATCGCCGGGCGATCGGCTGGTACGGGCGACGCGTCGCCTCGTGCCTCGCGCAAAGCAACTCCGTGTCGGACCGATCGTCGCGAGTCTGAGCCGAGTTTTTCTCTGTTGATTCTATAAATGGCACAAGCGATTTGTTTTCGATGAGGCTCGTTGGCGAATCTGCTATTTCTCCGATCAAATTGTCCTGAAATGCAAAGGGAATTTTTTTTTGAAAAGTATACACCATTCTATCTGCAACAGAAATAGTTTTCTTATGGTATACATGTATGTATGTTGAACTTCTTTCACACTGTATGTAGCCAACCGTGCTAATCGGAGGTGTGGGAGAAGGACAACAAACTGAACTCAAAAAGCAGGTTCTAAATATGCCTGTTGCTTTCCAGCTTTATTTCTCTATTTATTTAAAACAACAAACAATTATGGAATTAATAAAAGAAGCTCGTAAGCGGCATGAAAACATTTGACAAATACCGGACAAACCAGCATCGCAGCAAGAAGTTGGCCTGGTTACACCAACAAGGCAAATATAACTGTCTGGTGAATATCTGACAGCGATGTCGACAACAGGCCATCACTTAGCGGTGGATCGAGAATGCTCGAGCGCATGTAGTGGTCACCTGCTGAACGCACGCCTGCTTGTTCAGGAAGAGGAGGTCGCGCGTGAGCGTGTGCTGCTCCCCAGAGTAGCGTGGCCGCTCGGTGCGGAGCAGCTCCTGCAGGACGAGGTCGTGCAGCCCCTCGGCCTCCACGGACACGTCCAGCACGCTCGTCACCTCCAGCAGCGGCTCCAGGAATCCCGCTGCAGGCACACACACACACGCGCACAAAGACAGAGATCCCCCGTATAGCGTTTAATAGACGGTTGGGGCGAGTGCTGTTCGTGAGCGCTCATGAAGTACGGCATGGCATACGAAAGGGGTGGTGTGGCCTGCACCGTGCCCGGGCCGCCTTTGTCTTCCCAGTGTAGATGTTTGCACACCACACCAGGTACTCAATTAAGGGATAGTCGACCTATGCACTAACCAATACAACATGGCACTCCCCCCGGTCATCATTAACAATGCCTTATAACAGAATAATATATAATCGGCAAATGTTTCAGGCAATGGCCCCTCTGCCAACTCTGACCGCTAATGCAGTCCCCTGCATTTTTTTTAAGGGGACTACGTCTGCGGCCTTATTATACACTTGCCCATCTCAATGTTTCTCCATTCAACGCTGCCGGGTCCAGACGCAGGGTCTCTGGCGCTGGCAGTGAGCCAGAGACAACGGACTGACTGAGACTGTTAAGAAAAGTGAGCTTTGGACCTGACACATTGCGAGAAGGGATAACGGCTGGTGGTCGAGACTAATCACAGAGTGGCAGGCAAAGGAGGGAACATGCCCGAGAACACCGTTCCCCACGTAAGTGAAGGGATGCAATCAGCTTGTGTGCAGGTGCTCGACAGATTGTTGTATTGCAAGTCTATAATGGATGGTGACAGCTTGTGGATGCCCTCATTCAGTAATGGATAGATCATAAATAATTATAATTATTACGATGGGATTATAACGATGACGGCAACAAAATGCCCAGGCTTACCTCCACGAGCAGCATGCAGTGCCAACGGCAGCGAAGTGGCTAAGTAGAGCCTAAAACCATGGCGGGCTGTGACCACCTGGCCCCCGAGTGTAAAGCTGCGCTCGTCCTCGGTCGCGCCCCACGGCCTCTCTTGCGACAGGAGGTCCTTCAGCCAGGACGTGATATCCTCCCTCTCCACGTGGGTTATCAGCACAGTAGCTCCTGGAGTGCATGCGTACACAAAAAATACAACGTAATTGGTAGCTGAATAAAGTGGCAATTTATAAGAGAACCCCTGTGAAGTTGCACGTCAATCGGTTACATCTTTTACGATCCAAAGTTATAATGGACAGGCTGTACTATGCACGCATTCAAGGTGATGTCAACCACTTTGCTGGCAAAACTATGCCCTGCCGCAAGGGATGCGAACCCGTGTGAACAGTGTGCCAAATGACTTAAGTGTACATGGTGCAACTATTTCGTCAATCCACTGGTGGATAGGGCCTCCCTACGCCATGCGGATCATGCGGGTTATTTGACTACACTGAAATACGCTGGTCAGTGCGGGTTAGTGAAGGCGGGGAGCATAGACATAGGGACATACAGTGAGGGAAAAAATAATTTGATCCCCTGCTGATTTTGTACGTTTGCCCACTGACAAAGAAATGATCAGTCTATAATTTTAATGGTAGGTTTATTTGAACAGTGAGAGACAGAATAACAACAACAAAAAACCGGAAAAACGCATGTCAAAAATGTTATATATTGATTTGCATTTTAATGAGGGAAATAAGTATTTCACCCCCTCTCAATCAGAAAGATGTATTGCTCCCAGGTGTCTTTTATACAGGTAACGAGCTGAGATTAGGAGCACACTCTTAAAGGGAGTGCTCCTGATCTCAGCTTGTTACCTGTATAAAAGACACCTGTCCACAGAAGTAATCAATCAATCAGATTCCAAACTCTCCACCATGGCCGAGACCAAAGAGCTCTCCAAGGATGTCAGGGACAAGATTGTAGACCTACACAAGGCTGGATGGGCTACAAGACCATTGCCAAGCAGCTTGGTGAGAAGGTGACAACAGTTGGTGTGATTATTCGCAAATGGAAGAAACACAAAAGAACTGTCAATCTCCCTCGGCCTGGGGCTCCATGCAAGATCTCACCTCGTGGAGTTGCAATGATCATGAGAACGGTGAGGAATCAGCCCAGAACTACACGGGAGGATCTTATCAATGATCTCAAGGCAGCTGCGACCATAGTCACAAAGAAAACAATTGGTAACACACTATGCCGTGAAGGACTGAAATCCTGCAGCACCCGCAAGGTCCCCCTTTTCAAGAAAGCACATATACATGCCCGTCTGAAGTTTGCCAATGAACATCTGAATGATTCAGAGGACAACTGGGTGAAAGTGTTGTGGTCAGATGAGACCAAAATGGAGCTCTTTGGCATCAACTCAACTCGCCGTGTTTGGAGGAGGAGGAATGCTGCCTATGACCCCAAGAACACCATTCCCACCGTCAAACATGGAGGTGGAAACATTATGCTTTGGGGGTGTTTTTCTGCTAAGGGGACAGGACAACTTCACCGCATCAAAGGGACGATGGGCGGGGCCATGTACCGTCAAATCAGCCAGGGCATTGAAAATGGGTCGTGGATGGGTATTCCAGCATGACAATGACCCAAAACACACAGCCAAGGCAACAAAGGAGTGGCTCAAGAAGAAGCACATTAAGGTCCTGGAGTGGCCTAGCCAGTCTCCAGACCTTAATCCCATAGAAAATCTGTGGAGGGAGCTGAAGGTTCGAGTTGCCAAACGTCAGCCTCGAAACCTTAATGACTTGGAGAAGATCTGCAAAAAGGAGTGGGACAAAATCCCTCCTGAGATGTGTGCAAACCTGGTGGCCAACTACAAGGAACGTCTGACCTCTGTGATTGACAACAAGGGTTTTTGCCACCAAGTACTAAGTCATGTTTTGCAGAGGGGTCAAATACTTATTTCCCTCATTAAAATGCAAATCAATTTATAACATTGTTGACATTCGTTTTTCTGGATTTTGTTGTTGTTATTCTGTCTCTCACTGTTCAAATAAACCTACCATTAAAATTATAGACTGATCATTTCTTTGTCAGTGGGCAAACGTACAAAATCAGCAGGGGATCAAATATTGTTTTCCCTCACTGTAGTAGAGTAAAATAATGGTTTCTGCTGCACTGCCCTCTGCTGCCCACAATGTAACGCCACAGCCGATTATCACCCATGAAAACTCTATTCAGGGACCCCTTCTTACGTTCTAAAATTTTATGAGCTCGTGTGCACTCTCGGTGATTTGGTCATATGATCAAAGGACTTAGTAAAGTGCGACAATAATTATATTTTGGTGTACAGAGAGCAGACACAATGTTCATCTCTAAATGTCGATGCACATCCACACGCATGCACACAAGTTCACCTCTCTCTGCAGCTCCCACAAGCCTCTGCTCCAGTGCTGGATCTGTAACCATGAGCACCTGCAGATCACTGCCTTGCTGCTCCTCACCGCTCACACTGGTAGCTGCTGTGCACATGTACAAAGTGCATATAAGCACCCAATAAAGAGAAGTGGCTAAGCTTCAAATCACATATCACAGCAGCATCATAATTATTAACCATGTGCGGCCTCATGTCTGAAAGCAACCCATCAGGTCTGCTTCTGTGGGTTTATAATAGATGTTATTCTTGCTCCGATTTAATTCATCCATCTGCTATTTAGTTATACCATCATGCATTTTCCTGTTTTTGGCTGCCATTCCACAGCGAGTTGTGTATAATAGAGACATATGTCCTAATCAAAATATCTTAGACTTTTGTGTGTTGTAAGGTTCACCCACTCCTATTTAATTTAGTAAAGTGTCTACAAATGTGAGCAACTGTTGAAAACATCATACAAACTCAAAACATGTTTTGGTGGAGATTAAAAACAATGCCGTTTTAACAGAAATTACTTCTAGTAATTGAGTGATAATTATGACTTCCCCAGGAGATATAAACCTACCATTATTCTGTCTTTGTAATATCAGGAAGCCACTGTAACTATGCACTTTTAAATCTAGATTGAAAACTTAATTTTTTACAATACTTTTTTGTGTTTAGTTTGTCGTCCTTCCCCCGCACCTCTGATTAGCACAGTCGAAAGAAATTCAACATACATACATATATACACATAAACAAATTTACCTGCGCTTGCACCCCGCTGTTGATCTGCTGCGTTTCTCTCCGAGGCCACTTCTCGCTCGATGAGCCGCACCCAGGTCGCCGCCTGCCCGTCAGGGTCCAGAAAGAACAGGCATCGCCGCCGTCTCACATGTCGCGCGCACACGTGTGCCATCAGGAACGCCTCCCTGGCGCCAGCATATGACGGCAGATCTTCCTGATGCCATCTCTCATCCTCCTCCTCCGAACCCAGTGCGTCTCGCAGCGAGAACGGCGTCCGCACGGGGATGACGGCGCCCGGTCCCGTCGTCGAATCTCCCTCGCCCACGTCTGACGTGACGTTTTCTTTTGGGTCGCCGTCACATGTCACCTGCTGGGCTCTGCTGGGAGGAGCCGGCGTGGAGTCTCCGTCCTTGCCATCGCCATCGAGGCAAAGTCGAAGCCACGCCACCAGAAGCCGCCGGCGGGAAGCACCGTCGAAGGGCGCCGCATACACCGCGCTGGCCGACGCCAAGAGGGCGTCCCCGGCAGCGGCGCTCAACAGCGCCCGCGCTTCTCGGTTCAGCGACTCCCAGCCGCCCTTTTGCCTCAATAGCGCGGCCCGCAGGTGCGCGCCCTCTTGCAGGCGCAACCGAGCATCGTGGATGCGGGCAAGCAGCCCGTCCCGCGCCAGCGCGGCGCCTTCCAGCTCCTCGACTGCGTGCCGCCGCTCGCCGCTCAACTGCTCGGCGTGGAGGCGCCGGCGGCCCAGCGAGCGCCGGGCCGTGGCCAGTGCGGCCTCGAGGGCGGCGGCCTCCAGCTCGGCGGGGCGTAGGAGGCGGCGCGTGCGGCCGTAGGCGTAGACGGCGCGGAGCCACGAGCACAGCGAGTCGGCGGCACGGCTCGACTCCCGCACTAGCGCCGGCGAGAGGCCCGGGTCGAGCACAGCCGCCTCCAGCCGCTCGAATGTCTCGTCTGTGATGCCGTCCTTGTCTAAGAACTCCAGGTCCTTGGGTGATTGCAAAAGAGAAATCTTTCAAGAAAAACATTCAGTCAAAACAACTCAACAATATCATGATTATCGCTGCCTTTTATATACTACCAACCCTTTGTGAATCCACTGCTGTATGGTGGCCTCCCCACCAATGGCGGAGCCAGGATTTTCAGGTAGGGGGGGCAACCCCTCCAGTAAATAAAAATGATAGTTGTTAGTAAGTAAGGACTTGTCCCTTGCTTTTTATTTGACGCGTGTGCAGGGATGGCGCAGCCATCGATCGAGGGTCGAATTCGAACCGCGTGGTGTGATCAGCATCGCGCTCCCTGAAGGTGAATGCCTTCAGGGAAGTCGTGTACTGTATAAGCAACTGCGCACAATTCTGTGAGTCACTTATAACCGCTTTGCCGTTACTTATTGCCAATTATGGACTCAGACTATTGTCCTATCATCTCATAGAGTCCTTGGCACGTAATAATATGCTACACAGTGGCAGTGGGGGGTCGCAAAATGCCGATTTCTTACGAATAAACCCCAATGATCCGATCGAAATTAGGGATTTTGATCGGATAATTGGGGGGGCACGTGCCACCCCCCCCCCTCCGCCAGTGCTCTCCACGCCTTGGTGGTCAGGAAGTTGTTTGACAGTACTTGACCACGCTGGTAAGTGCTGGTTGGTGAAGGAGGGGCCCCAGGACCGGATCAGGTATCACTCGCCACTGATGTTAAAAGTGGCTGGAAATTGACTCAGGTCTCTGGGTTCGTAGCCATGACTCCATGCTAATTTCGTTATTAAAACGGTGGCTATTTCCTTATGCTCTAAACTTTTCCTTAAAACCCATCAGTTGGCTTTAATATTTGTAACTTACACGGGTTTAGGTATTTAAAAAGAGGCATGGGGTATGACGTTTCGATAGTGGGCTTGTAGATATTACGTACAGGTTAAGAGTTATAATGTAATGTATTCATAAGCATCATGCAAAACACGGTTTAAATGTTGCATAACTCCAATAATTGGACCTAATTCATGAAGGAAAGACTCCACGTTCATTGTATCTATGTTTTATTCTATAAATATAATGGGCAGTTAAATGATAAAGAAATACATCGGAGTAATGAATTCGCCAAGAAAATTAAATCTCTATCTCTCAGCATTTGTAAATAAAAGTTAAGCAGCAAGCCTCCCATCATTGTCATTATCATTGTCATCATCGTCATCATCTTCTTGATTATACCCTGAGAGCTCAGTAATAACAGCACTATCTGTTAAGACCGCATCACTTTGCTGGTGGTCAGTATTGGTGATCCTATGGAAACTCTGGTTCCTACTTCATGAATAAAAATTACTTATATAATCGATTAATGACACATGAATAGAATCGTGTGAGAGTTGACAAATATAGTATTTTATGTAAATGACATGAAAGGCACACTCTTGGGTTAGGTTCGTGCTCATAGAGTGAACAAAACTGTATAAACCTGACAGACAAAAATTAGAAACAATACAAATTATGCAGTAAAACCAAGACAAAAAAGATTATTGGATTGAATTGTGACCGCAGATAATGAAATTCATAGATTCTCTGAGGGGAAACAGCATTTTAAGTGTCTGATTGGAACATTGAAAGAAATGATGACTGTTAAACTAAAATTAACATCGCCGGACACAACACCTCAACATGGCAAGAGGAAAATGTCAACAGAGTGAACAATGGGAGAGAGAGGTGGATTAGAGGACGAGATGTGCTTTCATGCGAGCACTCACCTCCTTACTCAGGAGCGCACTCGCACACATGCGCGCACGAACAAAGACAAAAATCCCCCGTATAACCTGAATAGACTGTTGGGACAAGTGCTGTTAGCGAGCACCTATGAAGGCCGGCACAGCACACGGGGGGTGGGTGGCCAGCACCACGCCCGACCGCCTCTGTCTCCCTGGTGGTGATGTTTTTACACACCGCACAAGGTACAGATTTGAGGCTGAGTCGATCTAGGGGAGGCCCACGACCAGTTCAGATTTTCATCACTGGTGTTGGCCGTGAGTGGGAATCGAACTCGGGTCGCCAGGTTCATAGTGCAGCGAGCTAACCGCTACACTACCACTCCCCACTCGCACACACGGGCGCACTCACGCAAGCTAACATGGGCACGCACCTGCAGGAAGTTTGGGCGCAGCATGAGTATGCGCGCGTCCTCCCAGCCGGCGTGGCATCCAAAGAGGAGGCCCACGGCGTCCGCCACAGCAACTACAGGGGGCGGCGGAGCGCGGTACGAACGCAGCTCCTCCACGTCGCGCGGACGCAGTGCGCGCAGGGCCCGCAGGGCCGCCTCGTACACCGGGCTCACCTGAAAAGGAATAAGGGGGAAGGAGAGACACAACATCACACGGCTCAGCTGGGAGCGACACATGCCTCTAACTGCCTCGTATGGCAGGCTCACCTGGAGGCAAACCGGCGACGGTACTCACGTGGGGTAGATCGGAAATTTGGCTCATCTGCAGGCAAAATGGGCTCACCTGGGAACAAAACACTGTTGTATGTTATTGTAACTTTCTGAACTGCCCCTACTGGACATCTGTAAAAGAGAACTTCATAGCTCATCAGATTTCTCCAGTATAAATAAAAATTCTGATTCACTGGCTCACTCGGGAACAAACCACACTCACCCAAGAGCAAAAACCCAGCAGCTGGACCAGTGAAATCTAGCACACACCAAACCAGAGAGGATGAAACTGTCGCTAAATGTATCTTATGTGTGTGTGATCAACAAGGCATGAGCATGCGTGCTAGCCTGTGTGATGCTACGTGGCCAACCTGGTTGAGTTGAGCACGCATCTTCTTGCGCAGTGCTTCCAGCTGCTCGAGCAGTGCTGAGATGTGCTCCTCTGTCTGCCGGCATCGCTCCAGGGCCTCCTCGAGCTCACGGTGCTTGCGGTCCGAGGAGCTCTGCAGCTGCTGCACCAGCTGTGTGTATGCAGGTGCACGTACGGGGAGCGGGAGTGCAGTGGTTAGCGCGCTGCGCTATGAACCTGGCGACCCGAATTCGATTCCCGCTCATGGCCAACACCAGTGACGATCATCTGAATCTGTCCTGGGCCTTCCCTAGGTCGACTCAGCTCCAAATGGGTACCTGGTGCAGTGTGTAAACATCGCCACTTGGGAGACAAAGGCGGCCAGGGGGTGAAGCTGGCCATCCTCTCCCTCGTGTGCCGTGGCGGCCTTCATAGGTGCTCGCTAACAGCACTTGCCGCAACAGTTTGTTCAGGCTATAAGGAGGGATCTTTGTCTTTGCATGTATGTGCATGCGAGATTTTGTGGAGAGTGGTGGCGCAGTGTTTTGTGTCCTGCGTGTGTCCTGACTACGGCAAACATCAACATCAGTTGCGAGCACATTTTCGGAACCTGGTGTGGTTTTAAAAATTCGGCACTGGGGAGGCAAAGGCGGTCGGGCGTGGACCTGGCCACGCCAGACCTTTTACACTGTTCCGGCCTATATAAGGGCTCTTTAGTGTGTAAAGGTTCCATCGATGATCGTTGATTTGTTTTCATGAATGTATTTTGTTGCGTAACGAAACCCAGCACCCAGGAGACAAAGGCTGTGGGTGTGCCACTTAAAATCGCCGAGATGACAGTCAATCCAGCTGACCAAACGGGATTTTTCATGTGTAAAAGCTGAAAACAACCAACTCAGCAGAAGCACTGCTTGCAGAAGTTTCCACTGGTTTGTCAATGCTATTCAATGCATTCGTGGAAAAACGCACTCCAATCTCTGCAGAAATATTTTGCACATACATTAACACCTTGCTAAAGCATATAAATACTGCATACACATACATTAACTTTAACAACCACGCACAAACATGGCGAGAGCTTGCTGAGATGTACATTGCATCTACAAGACATGCCTGTAATAGACAATTAACTTTTCATGGCAATCATAAATCCATACGTAACATTTTGTAGAATTGATTTGGCCTTGGTGACTGGAACAAACTGGTATGACTTAATGCACATGAGTCAGCGCTGGGGAGGACACGGGCAATTTGAGCAATGAGGTGGGGTGTTTATCACTGACCTCTTTTGTCTGGAATCACAAAATTAGAGCTCATTAACAACGCTTGTAAAGAAAAGAAAATCGTGCAGACAGGACAAGGTCATGTAGAGTGAGGGAACAAAGTATTTGATCCCCTGCTGATTTCGTACGTTTGCCCACTGACAAAGAAATTGTCAGTCTATAATTTTAATGGTAGGTCTATCTAAATCCAGAAAAACGCATGTCAAAAATGTTATAAATTTATTTGCATTTTAATGAGGGAAATAAGTATTTGACCCTCTCTCAATCAGAAAGATTTCTGGCTCCCAGGTGTCTTTTATACAGGTAACGAGCTGAGTTTAGGAGCACACTCTTAAAGGGAGTGCTCCTAATCTCACGTTGTTACCTGTATAAAATACACCTGTCCACAGAAGCAATCAATCAATCAGATTCCAAACTCTCCACCATGGCCAAGACCAAAGAGCTCTCCAAGGATGTCAGGGACAAGATTGTAGACCTACACAAGGCTGGAATGGGCTACAAGACAATTGCCAAGCAGCTTGGTGAGAAGGTGACAACAGTTGGTGCGATTATTCGCAAATGGAAGAAACACAAAATAACTGTCAATCTCCCTCGGCCTGGGGCTCCATGCAAGATCTCACCTCGTGGAGTTGCAATGATCATGAGAACGGTGAGGAATCAGCCCAGAACTACACGGGAGGATCTTGTCAATGATCTCAAGGCAGCTGGGACCATAGTCACCAAGAAAACAATTGGTAACACACTACGCCGTGAAGGACGGAAATCCTGCAGCGCCCGCAAGGTCCCCCTGCTCAAGAAAGCACATATACATGCCCGTCTGACGTTTGCCAATGAACATCTGAATGATTCAGAGGACAACTGGGTGAAAGTGTTGTGGTTAGATGAGACCAAAATGGAGCTCTTTGGCATCAACTCAACTCGCCGTGTTTGGAGGAGGAATGCTGCCTATGACCCCAAGAACACCATCCCCACCGTCAAACATGGAGGTGGAAACATTATGCTTTGGGGGTGTTTTTCTGCTAAGGGGACAGGACAACTTCACCGCATCAAAGGGACGATGGGCGGGGCCATGTACCGTCAAATCTTGGGTGAGAACCTCCTTCCCTCAGCCAGGGCATTGAAAATGGGTCGTGGATGGGTATTCCAGCATGACAATGACCCAAAACACACGTCCAAGGCAACAAAGGAGTGGCTCAAGAAGAAGCACATTAAGGTCCTGGAGTGGCCTAGCCAGTCTCCAGACCTTAATCCCATAGAAAATCTATGGAGGGAGTTGAAGGTTCGAGTTGCCAAACGTCAGCCTCGAAACCTTAATGACTTGGAAAAGATCTGCAAAGAGGAGTGGGACAAAATCCCTCCTGAGATGTGTGTAAACCTGGTGGCCAACTACAAGAAACGTCTGACCTCTGTGATTGCCAACAAGGGTTTTGCCACCAAGTACTAAGTCATGTTTTGCAGAGGGGTCAAAAACTTATTTCCCTCATCAAAATGCAAATCAATTCATAACATTTTTGACATGTGTTTTTCTGGATTTTTTTGTTGTTATTCTGTCTCTCACTGTTCAAATAAACCTACCATTAAAATTATAGACTGATCACTTCTTTGTCAGTGGGCAAACGTACTAAATCAGCAGGGAATCAAATTCTTTGTTCCCTCACTGTAGTTTGTTCCAGTTTAAATGTGCACCCGGCATAACACAGTGCAGAGGTCGGTGCACTGGTTGATAAGTCATTTTCGCAGAATTAATGTTTGGTTTCAGTCATCCACTGACGTCTCCAGAAAATGAACAAAGCACCCCTGTCACCAAGTAAAGATTATAGACTATGCGGCATCGCCATTTGTAGTCGGTAGTTGCATACCAACAGTGCCATAACCGAAATTCTAAATTTGAAAATCAGCTTCAACAACACTCTGCAAAAATCGAGCAGGTATACCTCGCACAGGTGATAATGGCTCCCAATGAGCTCTCAATTGGTTAAACAAATGAGCATTAATCGGTCAGTCAGTACAAGTTGGTGTCCTGTGGGACGTGTGTCACCTCCTGAGATGATTCCAGCTCGGACTTCAGCTCGACCATCTGCTCCTCCCACTCCTCGACAGTCCGCTCCACCTCCTGTACTCGGCTCAAGGCAGTGCCGAGCCTGTGGATTAAAACAAGCGGTGATATGGACGTATGCATGTACGTTGAACTCCTTTCGCACCGTACGTAACCAACCGTGCTAATCGGAGGCGCGGGGGAGGGACAACAAACTAAACACAAAAAGCAGTTCTAAAGAAATTAGTTTTCAATCGAGATTTTAAAATGCATAGCTTGAATGGCTTCCTAATATTGGCAGATCTGGGCTCCGATGGCGAGTCCCCTTCGATAACAAACATGGTGACCTGGGAGCGTCTTTATCAGTAACTGTCCTCAGGACCTTCTCCTCTACTCTCTTTCTTTTCTTCCCAATTATACCAGTTCTTTTCAGTGACTAGTTTGAAACGGTTTTCTGTTAATACTGACTCGTAGAATAGTACGACATTTCAACCACCAATACACAACACAGCTCAGCGATTGTGAAAGTTGGATGTACTGTACGACTTTTTAAATGTTTCAATAAATTAATATATATGAAGGAATAAAAACAACCAATGATAAGCGACAAATGGGAAGCATCGTTTGCTCAGTGGTAAATCGCATGCATTTTAAAAGAAAATACCAATTCCTGAGGTGGTTTGCAGTTTATATTTGAACTTTAAAGATCATCATTTGAAAGCATGCATTTTTAAAGTTTTGTTTTTACTAAAAAGCAGAAGTTACCGATGAATGCGCTCGTGCCGGTGCCTGTCGATTTGGTTGTGCAGAGAGAAGAAGAGGTCGACCGCGTCCAAAAATGCCTCGGGCGGGAAGAGGGCCTGAGCCCAGTTTCCGAGCGACTCCAACGCGAGAGTCTCTGCCGACTGGTGAACGCTCGCCAGCGCGGCGCAAATCCTGTGCTGATCATACGCGGAGACGTGTACTGCACACACAACGTAAACGGTGATTACCATACGGATGTGGACACTGACGATGTGGACACTGACAAAGGAAACCGAACAAAAAGCTGAAAAGTGGACAAGGATGCGTGGAAAGGTGCATGCTTGTAATTAGACTGAGACGGGAAGCAGGACATGTGGATTAAGAGAGCGTACGCAAGTTGGAGCCATCTGACTGTTAAGTGCACTCTGGTAGGAGGCATCGTTGGAAGAGATGTTGTAGAGACGAACTACTGAGTTGCAAACGAAGGAGGGAAACATGCCCAAGAAATCCAACCACCATGGAGACGGAGCAATGAAATAAACTTGTGTGCAGAAGCTAGATGGATTATTACATTGTGAGACCATCAGCTGGCGGCAGCTTGGGGAGACCTTCATCCAACAGCAGATAGATCATGGCTGAAGATGACGATGACATACTTGCACAAAGGTTCCCAATTTAACATTGCTGGATGCAGGGGTAAGTGATGTCAGTGAGTATTTACATCAAGGCAGCCGAAGCACCGAGTGGGAGGAGTGGCCAACCTTTAGATCTGCAGCACTAATGATGACCACACCGTACGAGGTATTCACGTTAGACTGAGTTAGCTTCCAGATGCTAACTGCTATGTGTTCAAACGATCAAACCTCGATTCCAAAAACTGCAACACAGTACGCTAACCACTACAATACTTCTTCTTCGGTTCTTTCGGTAAAGTCACGTAGAATGAGAATAAAATAATAAATTGATAAAATAAAATAACACAATAACATTCTCACGACGTTTCGGCCACAACACAAGCAGCCTTCATCAGGTGAAGGGACGAGACTGTCTGGAGGACAGCGCTCCAGCGCTTGTGTTGTGGCCGAAACGTCGTGAGAATTTTATTAATTTATTATTTTATTCTCATTCTACGTGACTTTACCGAAAGAACCAAAGGAGATGAATCCTTGCAGTCACGAAAGCTTTAAATCGAAACACTACAATACTTCTCTGCACATGCACATATATAATGTTACGACCGATTTATTTTAAGCAGGGAAAAGGAAGGGGCCAATACCACACCTGCTCATCATTGTCTCTCCATGGGTGCTAAATAAGGGAATTATATAGCACGGCAGAGAGGCCAATGTCAGCTACAAATAAAAATTGTCACCGTGTCTTTCAGGCATATAGCAATTCATCCCTTATGATTAAATTCATGATCAGAATTGGGGGTTGCATTTCCATTCAAGATTAGATAAAATAAATCAATTACGTCAAGTATCACTCTGTCTCCACCATTAGCCTAAATATAACAGCATATACTTTCCCTGATAATTAGATCAAATGTAAATAGTAAATGCTCCCACAATTTGATTTGATTAGTAAATGCGAAGCAGTCTTCTGTGTACTTACAATTGACTCTTGACGATAGTTATTAGGGATCTGTGTTCAAGGATGCCGAAGAATGTTTTTTGGATTTAGTCAGAGAAAGACAGCACGTACTGCGGTCATGTAGTGCGAGTCTCACAGGGGGCCCTATCACCTCGCCATCTCCGTGGAAGCATTGAAAGTAGAAGGGCAAAAGACAAAGATGAACAAGGGTGGAATGACAACAAGGAGTGCACCTAGCGAGTTCAGCATGGGGAAGGAACATGGTAAGGACTTGCACTGAGAGAAAAAATGTTGGCCTAAATTAAACGTCAACCTCCGAACTTGGAGTTGACCGACAGATGGTTGGATGGCTGAATGGTAGCATGGTGGTGGCGAGATGTTAACTACCTTGCCTGGTATATAGGAGATCGTGAGTTCAATCCCGACCCCGACGCCTGTATATATGGAGTTTGCATTGTTCTCCCTGTGATCACGTGGATATTTCTGCAGGTCCTCTGGTATTTCCCTCCACATTTAGAAAAATGCGTGTCGAGTATTTGGCTGCTATAATTTTCCACGTGATAAGCCAATTCATTTAGCTGTCATTTGTGGTTAGGTCAGTTCTGAAAAAGAGCTATACGGCTCAGTGGGCCTTATCTGGTAAAATAAAAAAATAGTTTAGTTTAAAATTGTGTAGTGACATAGTTCGGAGACAGTAGTAGTGGGAGGCACCTTCTTTGATTCTTGCACACAATGGCGATTATACGCACCCTACGTGGGTGTACACTATATATTGTACACACACAACCATCTATTGTCGGCGACACTATCTAGCTAGAACAGTTGGCAGGCTGTCTAGCTACCGGTGCCCAGTGATGGTGAAGACGGCGGCAACAATGGTGGCGAAATAACAGCACGGCGAGGGGATCCACTTCCAGCAACAGCCCCGAGCTCTCGCTCAGGACTCCCTCTTATGCTCCCGGCGTGGCCTTGCTCCGCCCTGGCCACGCCCCCCTTCTGGAACCTACTAGCAGGTTCCTGGGGCTTCCAGATGGACCCCTCCATGAACTCTGCCCTAGTTATCTTCCCTCCGTGTATACTGTCACCTGCTGACGTGTGTACTGCCGTACACTGCAGTTACCACTTTCCGTCAGCAGCCAGCGCTATTACTCTACAATAGTAAAAATATATATATAGTTTGTAATGGACATTCAGCCTCATTCATGGCAGTGATTTTAAACGAAGTGGCGACCCACCTTTGACGGTCGCGTGCAGGAACTCAAGTCGGCGACGCGCCACGTGAACGAGCGTGCGGCGCCCCCAGCGAGAATGCACGCTCACAGAGGTGGCCATCGTCACGAGGGACGCGAAGTTGCGTCCCCGCGTGAGCTCAGCCTCCTCCTCGTCCCCGCTCTGCCACGCGTCCACCAGGGTCACGACGTGCAGGTGGTTTCTCACACGCCGAAAGAACCTTGCGGGGTGAGACAACGGTTCAATGTGGGCATTGACTAAAACAATGAAGTGAAATTTTGAAAAATGTGCAAAGCGTGTAGAGATGCATGCTTGGAATTACACTGAAACCGAATAGCAATACTGGAGTTCGAGAGCATACGCAAGTTAAAGACATCATATTGCCGTGTTCAGAAGGTAAGTGAGCTTGAGCAGCCAAAGACGCTACAAGGGATGATGACCGGTGGTCGAAACTAACGATGGAGTGGCAGCCAAAAAAGGGAAGACGCCTGAGAGTACATCAACCACGGAGAAGGAGAAATGAAATCAGCTCGTGTGCATGTCCTAGATGGAATGATGGTGACAGCTTGGGAAGGCGTTCCTCATATGCAGTGGAATGATCATTGCAGATGATGACGATGACTATGTATGTGCTCTCCGAGATCAGACAATTTTTGTCATTTGGATGCTGGATAGAATGAGTCTGAGTTGCACGCACGGTCAGCTCACCTTTCCACAGAGCCCTGTGATCTTCTATCGACCTTCGCCAGCCGGTCTTTGCTCACAGAGCTGCCAGACAGCTTTTCCGAAATCTCTTTCAGGTCGGCACTCGAGTATAACTCCGGGAACATCCCTTCCCTTGCCAGCGCGACAAGCTGTGCGTGCCACCGCCGAACCACCCAGTTTGTCGCCAACAAGACGGCTGGTTTAGCCTCGGCGCCAGCATGCCAGCAGGCCATCTTGATTTGCTGCCTCAGAGATTCATCTATGGTTGCACCACCCCCAGTGCTCGCGCCCTCCGCGAGTTCAAATACGCTGGCCCGGCAAGCGCCGGCGGCTAGCCTCACCAGCGCCCGACGGCCAGTGCAGGGGCCGAGGCCGATCAGCAGAGCGTGGGAGGCTGGGCGGCAGAGCGCGCGGCACAACGCGGCCGCACGGCGGGTGCTCTCCTCCGTCACCCCGTCGTCGCCGGAACGCTTCTCCAGCACATGGGCCAGCTCCTGCCACCCAACCTCTCTGTGATGAGCTCTTCCCCTGTACGGCAGCAACCCCGTGAGGGTGGGTGCAAGGACACTGCTGTTGCAGTAGAGGATGTCCCTGAACTGCTCGCCGTGGTGGAGGATGTCTCCCATCGTTAGTGGCAACTCTTTGCTGCCGGTCGGTGGCTCGTCGGCCGGCTTTTTTTTACCGCTTCTCTTGCCTGATCGTGAGTGGGCCATATTCACGTCTGATTTGTTGCCGCTCGTACAGGAGTCGTAACTGCTCCGCACGGACCACCCTGTTAAACGTGGAGTTGTCACCCTGGCGGTTATTCTTTCAGCACACTGCGCATCAGCCGATGCTGGTTTTGCTCGTTCATCTTGAGCGGCCAAAGAGTGGGCAGCCCGGAACAAATGGCTCTTTCCATCATCATTATAATCATCATCTGCAGCTTCGCTGCCAGACATAGAAGAAAGATGCAAATATGTGGACATGTTGGCTTGCAGAGTGCTGGAAGAAGCCGCTGCAGAAAATGCAATCCCAGTATCTAAACTCAGCGCTGCTCTTCTGTGGTGTCGGGGTCGCTGGTTCAGAGACTCAGTTGAGAACTCCCCACTCATTGATGAAAGCCCAACAATTACATTTTTCTGCACTGCTCCGAGCAGGATGCCCTGGAAAGCATCCTCCCCCTCTGCCGTGCAGAGGCCGTCTCCAAGCGTGCGCCATGCCTCGTGGCTCCACAGGCGGACGAGGCGACAGGCAACTGCAGAAGGGCTCTCCGAACCTCGCACGCATGACTTTGGCGACACCGAAAGCAGGCTGCTCAAAATCTCCCCAACGGAGCTCAGAGAGAATGGACAGCACACTTCAGCTTGGGAGAGCTTTAGCCGTTCTCTCATCTGCGAGATCACCTCCCATGTAGCTCTGACCAGGGCATCGGCCAGGCGCTCGGGGTGAACCAAAGCATTGGTCGGAAGTTCCTGCAGCCAGACTAGTAGCGATGGAACGCAGACCGTGAAAATGTGCTCCTCTGTCACCGCCGGCAAGGTGAGCGTTGTGAAGAGGCGGGCGAGACGTGCTGGCACGGCCCGGCTCTGCTCCCCAATGTTCACCCACGACGCCAGGATATTTAAAGGAGCTGAATAGAAACTCGCAGACTGCATGCGTTCAGGGTCGTACACAGAGTTCATCGACAGCAGCTGCCGGGTAACTTCTACCAGAGGCTGGCTGCTAGACTTGACATCTGCAGAACATCAAATATTTGACTCCCACGATGCACACAGTCATGCATCACAATACACTGAGGATGAGCACCATAATGTTGTGACCATGGGGCACCGTGTTTGTACCTTGGCAAATATTGACTAGGGAACAGACCAGATAATATCGCATGTCTTTCATGACGAAACATTTTTCTCAAAATAGATGTAACGAGTAATCAATTTGTGAAAAGTGCAAAGCTCCAAGAATCATGCAACTGAAGACTAACGTAATTCCAGCCAAATGGTCTTTAACACACAATGCTATCATTTGATCCTTGTTGGACATATCCTATGTTAATATGTCATCGTTGTTTTCTGCTCTGCTCAGACTCCTACCACAGCCAATTTAGGAATACACTTCTTATCTTTATAACCACAAATCCCGTGGAAATTCTACAATGATTTCAAAACATAACATAATTACGTACCAACTTCAGCCAGGTGGAGATCATCCAGAAAAACCAGGAAGGGTGCTCGCTCTGCTCTAGACCCAGAGCCCAAAACGTTTTCTCCTTTGGCGCTCAAATTCACCACGCGGCTGAGGGACAATTTCTCCCGGAGAACCTGACGGAGGCGCGACGCCTCCAGGCAGGGCGACACGGCCACACGGTGCCGCTCGCCGCCCTGGCCAAACAAGGCCCTCCCTGGAGTGCAGAGTGACCGGAAGAGCCACGTGGCAGCCGGCTCCTTGTTGAGGCTGCCCGACTGAGACAGCAGGAGGCACGGGGAACCTGCCGACGCCAGCATCTCCACGAGTCGCGCGTACCGCTTGTGCTGTGGGAGGTGGAATAAGATAGTAGCATGTAACAGTGCATCGCGCTGTTCATTTAAACAAATTCCTATGCTCAGGGTACATGCATTGATATGTGTGTGTGTGTAAAAGGCAATTGATTCAGATATAAGCAAATGTGATTGCAATGACATGACCATGTTACTGGTCATGTCATATATGCCCACTGTATAGAAACAGTGGGCATATTTGTTTTGTAGGCAGGGAAAAAACGTTCTTGAGTCGGAACTTAAATTGGGGGAGCGTCAATAGCACAGATGGCTGGGGAAAGGGAGTTAAAGTCTTTGGGGATAGCAGTGGAGAAAGAGCAATCAACAACTTAGAAAAAAGTTAGGCTCTTGCTCATCAAGAACACAAACCATACAAATAAGACAAAAAAAATTATGATAAATAATACAAATAAAACAATACAAACGAGACAGAAACAAAACAAAATAGTATAGATTTAAATCACAACCCCAAACAGTGACATTTTGTAGAATTGCTTTGGGAGAGGTGATTTATCACACAACTAAGAGACAGACATGCATGACTTACTGTAATCATAATCTTTATTTACGAAGAGCCTACCATAGCAAGATGCTGTGAAGCACAGAAAGTACATGTCATGCTTCGTAATGAGTACGCATGTGAACACTTATTTTGATTCTAGCGCTGATTGATTCTAGCGCTGTCCTCCAGACAGTCTCGTCCCTTCACCTGATGAAGGCTGCTTGTGTTGTGGCCGAAACGTCGTGATTTTTCTTATTTTATTTTCACCTACGTGACTTTACCCAATAGAACCAAAGAGTACTTATTTTGATTTTGATTCCATGGTTAGCAGCATATTGATTAACTCGATCACTACCACAAGCACATTTTAGACTTTGTGAAATGCACTCATATTCAAGTCCTAGTTTAACATTGAGTGTCTTAAATTTAGTTTGAAAGAGCTCTGGTTCGTGTCCTGGAGTCATTCTGTGCCGTATCCAAATAGCCATTAATTACTGTGCGTTTTAAAAGTTTGTAGGCAGCCCAAGATCTTTAAGAAGCGTAAATTAGCCCCAAAGGTGGCATTATGCTACTTAACAGAGCGGCTGAAATAAGTTGAAATCAATAAACCAAATAATGTGGAGAAGCTGGAAACCTCGGGATGGATTTTCACATCGGCACTGGAGGAGTATCACTGGACCAGGTGCTGTACCTGTGGAAAGTTAGCGAATCCATCCCTGGGGTTGCTTGTGGCCGACGCCTGCGAGACTTCCCAAACGGCAAGGCGGCCCTCGGGTGGTTCAGGCCACAGCTCAAACACCGTTCCACATTCCGGCAGCGTGACTCCATGCCGGCTCGTGCTCAAAACACGCCGGGCCACCGAGTCAAACTCGCCCCAGTGCCTGCCACCGCATGACGCACACAGACACACACACAGGACATTTTGTTTTTCGGGTTTAAATTAAGGCCACTTTTAAAGTTAACATCATGCCTGGGTCGCTAACAGCGATGAAACTAAGCAATTTTATCTATATTTGTTCAAAGATTCAAATTGTTGTTTTGATACAAATGAATGGTAAACGAATTGGGTTGTTATGCAATCACATGCAACAATAAGAGATTCGTGCACACAATGCCTACATACGAGTGAACATTTAAATGCAGTGCGAGGAGGGAAACAGGCAAATGAGCCGTGACCGAGTCGGTGGAAGAGGGCTTTGTGGTTGAATAAATGTGGATTTATTTTGCATCAAAAATATTTGTTTAAAATAGATTTTTGGTAAAGGTTTATTAAAAAGATATATGAAATAAATGAAATATACATAATTGATTAAATTAAACAAGCCCCTATTCTGTGTAAGGGAAAAGTAACCTGTGGTCAAATACTCAAATGAAACCTAATTGACAGATAGGGATTCTTTTTTCACGTAATTAATGAACATGTATCCATACTCATGAGATTCAATGTGAATAAATTATATTATTGCGAGTGTATTTCGTCACGCGTGCCCCCCCTACCCCCATGTCAGCCCCCTCATTGCCCCCCCACACACAAAAACACGTGCCCATCTGCTGTAAGACTTTGAACATCACTCGCTTCACATGGCAGGCTGTTGCAAACGGTAGTGGCCAAGCAAAAAAGGGAACAAAAAAGCTAATCAGCTGAAATATTGTATCAGCCAATTATATTCCCGGCATGTACCTTAGCACCTCAACAAAACACACGCCGCTTCCGGTTACACAACGAATGGACTCAATGCGTAAACAACTGGGTCTTTATTTCCATGCAATGTGTTCAAGAGCTCGGATTCACAGAACACAATTTCCTTTCCAAAGGGGCGAGCGTCATTGTGTGGTTCCACTCCTGCGTGCGGAATCGGTGAGCCGCAGTGCCTCTGATAATGAATGCTCTGTTAGGGACAAATCACAGGAGGGGCTTCCTGCTGACCTTGTCTCCAGGCGTCCTCCGAAGCCCCACACGTAGGAGAATAGGAACAGCGCGACGGCCCGTTCGGCGCCGCATGACCACCCAGGAACGTCTTGTGGCAGTGAAGCTAATTACATAAGAAAGTCATTTCCACCCCCCCCCCACCACCACCACAAAAAAAAACACACGCAAATGAAACAGAGCAAATTAAGAAAGATCGATGTCGTTAAACTTCGTGATCAATGTCCAAGATTCAATTAAATTTGTTACATTTAGCATTTTTTATTCAGCTAGCAAGAATAGCAACCCATGTTTACTGGTGCAGAATACGCAAATATACCAATTAGCATGGAAGTTGTTGATGTCAAATAAAAAATAAAACGACCCATCAAAATATTGTGTCATTTTAGATGGAGGTCAACTGTTGTAACCCTCTATTGCACCCCCATTTAAAGAGAGCACCATACAATTTTGCCAGGATAAAAAATAAGACACATTTTCAGTTCTATATATGTATATATAAAACCACTTTTAAGAGGCTGGATCTCATCCAAGAACATATTCAGAAAAAAAATACATTTGCAATTAACTGCCAATTACACACAGATATCACAAACATTTAACCATCACCTTGGCTGAAATGTCCACTCAAGATGGATGGCAGGATATTCTACTCTGACTGATTGGATATCACAGTAAATGCAGTTCACGTGCCCATCCTACAGCATGCGGGGTAATTGGAAAATGGAGCTGTGGGTGTATATTGAGTTAGTCATCTGACAGAGATGGGGGCACATAAAATAAATCATGTTCACTCGTATAAATTCAGCCGTGTCTTCTCTGCTCAGCATAACATGATGTGACCTCTTCGTTAGGATTGACAATCTAGCCGGTGCATCATAGGGAGATGCCTCCACTTCATTGATTGACATTAATGGGTTTGAAGAGAAGCGATGCGTGATTGTCGTCTAATGATTTGGAGGAAGGGTTTGTGGATCACGTAGAGATGATGTGCAGTGTGAAATTTGAACTGTGTAAGGTGTGAGTATTCTCTACTCATATGCTGGGTGTCTCCTGGCATTCTAGTGCCTACCCATATTCAAAAGGAATAACACATGGAATAAGCCTATCATTCTAATCAGAACTCAGAGTTGTAAAATAAATGGATGCTTTGCTGAATAAATGAAAAGTAAATTGCTTTATTATTTACAGGCCTTTGTCAATTTGACTCCCCTTAAAATGAATGTGTTGTTTGACCGTAATTCAGCACACTGATTAGTGGAGGTGGTGAAGGAGTGATGCGGGCACTCCCAGTACTGTTTAAGATATCACTCACCGCTGATTTTAAGCGTCGATGGAAATCAAACTCAGGCCGCCAGGTTAAATCCGCAATGCACTAACCAATGCACCACCATTCCACCGAAGTAAACATTAAACAATTAAACATTTCTGGGCAAGTAATTTCACTAACAGCCGAAGCGTCGGGCTCACCTCCAGCAAGGCCCTGCCCATCCTTGGTGCCACACTCCTCTTGCCGCGGTGCGATGGGAAACGTCTCCAAGAGGGCGGTGATGAAGCCGAGGAACGACGCGACCTCCTGCACGCCGTCCGGCGCGGCGCTGCCACCACACGGAGCCAGGGCCAGCGGGTTCCTCCGCAAGAACGCGAGCGTCGGTGGGAACACGTCTTCAGCCAGAGACCTCCAGGCTTGCGCCTCTCCGTGAGTCACACCGAGCTTAATGGACTCCCCCTCCAGCCATGACTGGGAGGAGACATTCACGACTTATAAAACACATCAGTAAAGTGAATTCTACACCTGCATGTACAGCCCTTTTTGTCATTCCACTGCTGGATGAGGGCCTCCCCACGCCTTGTAGGTCTTGGGGGTTATTGGACCGTACTTCACCATGCGAGTCAGTGCGGGTTGGTGAAGGCGGCGAGCATAGACATGGGGGCACAGATAGTACAGTGCAACAACGTAAAAAAAAACTTTCATAATGCGAACCATGGAATATGTGAAATGTTGCCTGGGTCATTCGGCTGTCAATTGAAGAATGATGCGAGAATTCAAATGGACCAGGAATTGCGTCAAGAGAAAGCTTGTGCTCACCTCCAGGATGTTCCTCCACTGGTCTTCCCCGCAGCAGCTGACAAGAGGCAGCCAAGCGAGAGCCGCAGGGGACGCGTGGGCCAAGTCGCTCGTCTCAAAGATGAATGAGACCTTGTTGAAGCCTTGAGCCTTTGGCCAGTCACTCAGGGTGGAGGAAGAGCCACAAGCGAGCTTAAAATACGTGGCCAGTGCTTCTGTCAGGTCCTGACGAAAGTTTCCATCGAACACGATCCACGTCTGTCTGAAGCTCCTGGTTTTGTTAGGCATGGGCTTGTTGGCCAACGATATATTCAAGGTGTTTCCTGGAGCAGCTAAGCCTGCATCATATTCTTCCTCCACACCTGCACTTCGTAATAGTTTTTGCACAATTCCCTGCTGCCCAACTTTGTTGTTATAACCGCTGCCTACAAGGTCTTCAAGTGACAGACAATTTGGGAAAATCACTGAAGTTCTGACCAAAATACCGTCAGGACTTTCAACATCCTCCATGCCATGACCGCCAGCATTCTCAAGCTCATCACTCTCACCCCGAAAGCCAGCAGAAGAGCACCCCACTGTTTTAAGTCCAGAACCGTGCAGTCGGTTGATAACTTTTGCGAGCGTCTGGTACGCCGTGGTCTTGCCACTCCCCGGACGTCCCAGTAAGATGACCCCGGGGGCCGCCTGCAGTGACTGATGCAGCTGTTGCACGCTCAGAACACCGCTCGCCGTCACCTGCAAGTTGTCCTCGCGGATTTGGTTATGGACCGCGCTCTGAAACTCCAGGCATGACTCGGAGGAACGTCCTTCACGTGCATTAATGAACGACGGCATGAACTCCCCGAGCAGGTGCTGCGCCTCCCGCAGGGAGTCTGCCCTGAAGAGCACGTTCACTCTGTGGAATGCAGCGCACACGGCACTCTCCTCGTGTAGGCTCTTCCTGTAGGAGAGCCCTGAGTTGGTCGACAGCGGGGGATGCCGAGGGCTGCAGGGGTAGGAATCCGTGCTGTCACCTTTGGTTGCGCTCCCGTTGCCATCCTCGATATTATCGGCAAGAATTCTGGCGTGATAAATTTTGGAGGCTTCCTTAAGAATGCACTTAATGGCTAGCAGGTGGCACATTTTACCCACAGGGCGGAGGAACCCGCACCTATCTGCAGCCTGACAAAAAGACGAAACTTTGGCTGCGAGTGAGAACGAGTCGCAAAATCCTTCCGCCAGTAGGAGGACCTCGACAATGACGTGGATGCTGGGCGTCAGTACGGAAACCGACCGGAAAGCTGAGCTCATGAGGCTCCCAGGGAACCCAGAGTTAGCGGGGCTTTCAATGAACGTGAGGATAAAACCAAAGCTTGGATTTACATGAAGACAGGTGTCCTCAAAGTTCACTAGTCTGAATGACTCAGAAATTGAACTTTTGTCTTGTGCGTCATGAGTTCCACAAACGCAGTTTCGTAAATCATGGTCAACGTTGCTTGGTACGGTATTCTTGTCTACACAATGGCTTGTGTGTGAGTGTGCGCTGCTGTTGTCGCGCCTAAAAGGCCACGCCTGCTTCAGAACTGCCTGCAGCTCCAGGATCTGCTGTGATAGGATGGACAGAGTGCCGGCCGGTAGCTGGTCGGCATGCTCCAACACGAGCAGGGCGCCGCACCTCGCCGCTCCACGAACAAGGCGCGAGACATCACCGGGAAGAAGCTGCTGGGAGCACTGTGCGCTCACCAGGAGCCTGCCAAAGGCGAACGCCAGCTCCGAGGCGATCGCTGACTTCCCCACCCCTGCGCGCCCAAAGAGAGCGGCAGTCGCACAGTCGTTGAGGGCCAGCACCAGGCCGAGGAGGCAGCGCTCCGTCATGGGGGTCATGACGAGGCGAGTGGCGCACGGCCCCAGGTATTCGTGCTCGTACGAGAAACGGAATCCCAGCTGCTCCACCCAGCAGCTCCACTGTGACTCAGAAGACATGGTCGAAGACGGGCGGCACCCCGGCCCCTCCGCTCCGCCACCGTAGACTCCTCTAACGTGCTTGACATCGGCGTCAACATCGGAGCCAAGGTAATACTTCATCAGCTTCTGCCACTCAAAGCTGCCCTCCGAACGGACGGAGGCAAGGCTGTCCCTCTGGTTGCAGGTCCTTGTAATGAGGCAACTCAAAAGGAGGTGCAGCCTGGTAGCATCTTTTGATGTTGAACCTTGGCTCATGTGCCATCTCAGAGCAAAAACCAGGCGACCGAGTTGCGTGTTACAGACGTCTTTTGCTTTTTGGATTTGGTTTCCATTTTCCCTCAAGGTAAGAATGATAAATTTGGTCCACAAGACCTCAGATGCTACAACTATGTACTGCACTGAAAATGTTGCCAACAAAGCATTCCATTTAATCAAAAACTCCGTGATGTCCTCCTCCGGTCCATTCCAAATGCCAAAATTACATCGCCTGACAATGCAACTGTTTGCTATCTCTGATGGGTCGAGAAAGGGCTCGCCTGACATGAACGCAACACATTCAGCCAACTGATGGCAGCCAGTGGATGCGAGGGACCTTTCAAAGTCCTGCAGCCAAGCAATTGGGCAGTACCGCGGCCGAACGTCTTCTCGCAAGCGTACGACTTCCCCCACCTCCCCGTGAGCCGCGACAATGGAGAGAGGATCCGCACAGGCGCGTAACGCTGGGTCAGCAGCCTCAGAGCCATCGCCAGCGCTGGGTGGTGGAGACGCGTCAAAGCCCAAGCCAACCACGCCGGGAAAGCACCGCGTCACAAACGGCAGCAGCCTGTGAGCATTAAAAGCGCAGGAGAGCAGACCCATGATGTCTTCGTCTGGGAGGAAGAACAGCCGAGCGAACCGCTCCCTGGAAGAGTCGGTCAGCCGCGTCAACTCGCCGAAGACTTGTTCTGCGGTGGATATGCTGCTCGCGAGCATCGTGCGGAGCGCGAGTCCCCACTGGTCGCGCTGAGTCGCGTACTCTCGCCGGTGGCCCAGCACCGACAACACGGAGGGGTCGTCCAGAGCGGCCTGCACCACATCCCGGTAAACTTTGTCCACCTCGCTGTGAAACTTCTGCGCCTGCAAGAATCAAAAACACAACATAGCCAGAGGTGTTTCATACACTGAGCAAGGGGGCAGATGAAAAGCTGTAGATTTGTATACAAACAAGAAACTGTGAGATAACGATAGCACACATCTTCTTGATTATATTTGTATGACGTCAGCATGTATATTGGCTCGTTAACATGAACTGCGGTTTAAACGTACACGAATAAGTGTGCATTCGTAATTTAACTTAATTCGAAACTTACGAGTTGAGGATGGTCTCTCTGAAGGCCCATCTCATTGAAGACTTTGCTGAGAAAGAGCCACTTTGCCTGAAGAGTGACCCACAGATCCAGCATATCATCTGCCGAATAGCACGACATTCAAAGGTAAACTTGCATATTCATCCATTATTGGTTAAATAACTTATATACAACTGTACAAAACATAGTCTCATTCGATTACAAAACCAAATGATTTCAAACATAAACATTGCAAGTAATGTCCCTCGTTATTTTTGTCATCTGGGAGGCAGCCCGGCATCCCTTCTAACAGCAGAGATGTGAGGTCACACTGCAATGTCAACCATCAAATGCGATCTCTTTTCAATCTGCAGGACACATGAAAGATCATGTACAGATCCTTCCTCAGTTTAACAAAACAAAGCTTAGGACAGAGAAGAATTCACAGACTCTTTCCTACCAAGAGTGCCTTACTGCAAAAATGTACCACATGTTATCAGCTAAGCAACACCTTACAAGCTGCAGTGAGAGTCAAGCGGCAATGGTACACACCACACCACATATCTTTCAGCTCCTTTAAGAGTCAAAGTTTTAATTTGCTCAAACGAGCAGTGGGGAGATACTCATCTCCATTGGTAGCCCTGAGCCATCGGTGGAAATTCCACGTTCAAATAACAAAAAAAAACAACACGTTCACCAATAACACTGCCTTCAATGTAAAGTAATACATGAATAGGTAACGTATCAGGCAATGGCCTTTCTTTTTATTTGTGCTTGTGCATCATAGCTGCGTGTATGTAGGTTGAACTTCTTTCACACTGTACGTAGCCAAACGTGCTAATCGTAGGTGCGGGGGTAGGACAAAAAACTAAATACAAAAAGCAGTTCTAAAGAAATTAGTTTTCAATCTAGAATTAAAAGTGCATAGCTCCAGTGGATTCCTAATATCATAAGGTTGAGTGTTGCCGACGGCCGCAGAAGCGCATCTGAAAGTGTGCGATGCAGTAACCTTCTTTGACCGATGGAACACCACAATACAATAGACTGGGGGAAGTCTCTTCATCGGACGAGGTCACCTTTTAGTCAATAAAAATGTCTTTCTGGAGCACAGAGACCATGTGCCTTGGCCCTACGGTGGTGTTGCCGGATACGGAGACGTCGAGTCACAGGACAACCGAATTCACGTGAGTTCTGCTGCTATGGTCACATGTGGGCATGTAGCGTGGGAGGCTGTGCACACACTGGGAATATATTCACCCCCTCCAGAGACTTCATGAATTTGCACAATTAACGGTTTCAATTCGATTAAAAATTATCTATATTTTAACAATGCGATGAATGTAGCAGTCTCCGGCGGCTGCAGGGGTCATGTCACCTCATTGCATACAAAATACACAAAATCGAAAAACATCGCATTTTACACACGCCTGATTCAACGCAGGTACAGCGAGCTTAAGAATAAATATTAAGTGACGCATTATCACACCCTGAGTAAACCCGCCCCGTTACCCAGGTGGTGAAGCACGTCGATCCAGGTCTCCGCCCGCCCTTGCAGCTCCTCTTCGTGCACGGGCGGTGTCAGCGTACGCAGTGCCATCGTGTCGTCCTCAATCAGAGCCCTCAATTCGTCTATGTCTGTGGACACCATCGCGGCAACAAACTCACCGTCAGCGCTCAAGAAGCTGATAACGAATGCGAGCTAATGAGTAACAAAGGGCTTGGCCCCCGTGAAGATGAGTGAAATGCTAGAGGCACCGGGGAACGTGTGACCTCAGACTATTGACTCAAGATCCCATATACACGGACATATATTCTCATGACCTACAGGCATGCTGATGACAAGGGAAAAATCATGCATTCAATTACAATTAGCATATAGAGATGTGTCTGACCTCGTCAGATCCCGGGAAATAAGCAGGTTTGAGCCCGGATAGCACATCAATGAGTCACCGATATGCATAACACAGTACAAGCATTGTAATCTGCTGCAGAAACTGCTTTGTGGCAGAGGGCAGTGCAGCAGAAACCATTATTTTACTGTACTACAGTGAGGGAAAAAGTATTTGATCCCCTGCTGATTTTGTACGTTTGCCCACTGACAAAAGAAATGATCAGTCTATAATTTTCATGGTAGGTTTATTTGAACAGTGAGAGACAGAATAACTACAAAAACATCCAGAAAAACGCATGTCAAATATGTTATAAATTGATTTGCATTTTAATGAGGGAAATAAGTATTTGACCCCTCTGCAAAACATGACTTAGTACTAGGTGGCAAAACCCTTGCTGGCATTCACAGAGGTCAGACGTTTCTTGTAGTTGGCCACCAGGTTTGCACACATCTCAGGAGGAATTTTGTCTCACTCCTCTTTGCAGATCTTCTCCAAGTCATTAAGGTTTCGAGGCTGACGTTTGGCAACTCGAACCTTCAGCTCCCTATACTGATTTTCTATGGGATTAAGGTCTGGAGACTGGCTAGGCCACTCCAGGACCTTAGTGTGCTTCTTCTTGAGCCACTCCTTCGTTGCCTTGGCCGTGTGTTTTGGGCCATTGTCATGCTGAAATACCCATCCATGACCCATATTCAATGCCCTGGCTGAGGGAAGGAGGTTCTCTCCCAAGATTTGACGGTACATGGCCCCGTCCATCGTCCCTTTGATGCGGTGAAGTTGTCCTGTCCCCTTAGCAGAAAAACACCCCCAAAGCATAATGTTTCCACCTCCATGTTTGACGGTGGGGATGGTGTTCTTGGGGTCATAGGCAGCATTCCTCCTCCAAACACGGCGAGTTGAGTTGATGCCAAAGAGCACTATTTTGGTCTCATCTGACCACAACACTTTCACCCAGTTGTCCTCTGAATCATACAAATGTTCATTGGCAAATTTCAGACGGGCATGTATATGTGCTTTCTTGAGCAGGGGGACCTTGCGGGCGCTGCAGGATTTCAGTCCTTCATGGCGTAGTGTGTTACCAATTGTTTTCTTGGTGACTATGGTCCCAGCTGCCTTGAGATCATTGACAAGATTCTCCCGTGTAGTTCTGGGCTGATTCCTCACCGTTCTCATGATCATTGCAACTCCACGAGGTGAGATCTTGCATGGAGCCCCAGGCCGAGGGAGATTGACAGTTCTTTTGTGTTTCTTCCATTTGCGAATAATCGCACCAACTACTGTCACCTTCTCACCAAGCTGATTGGCAATGGTCTTGTAGCCCATTCCAGCCTTGTGTAGGTCTACAATCTTGTCCCTGACATCCTTGGAGAGCTCTTTGGTCTTGGCAATGGTGGAGAGTTTGGAATCTGATTGATTGATTGCTTCTGTGGACAGGTGTCTTTTATACAGGTAACAAGCTGAGATTAGGAGCACTCCCTTTAAGAGTGTGCTCATAATCTCAGCTCGTTATCTGTATAAAAGACACCTGGGAGCCAGAAAGCTTTCTGATTGAGAGGGGGTCAAATACGTATTTCCCTCATTAAAATGCAAATCAATTTATAACATTTTTGACATGCGTTTTTCTGGATTTTGTTGTTGTTATTCTGTCTCTCACTGTTCAAATAAACCTACCATTAAAATTATAGACTGATCATTTCTTTGTAGGTGGGCAAACGTATAAAATCAGCAGGGGATCAAATACTTTTTTCCCTCACTGTATGTTCACATCTGTGTCCCTCATCTTCAACCCTCCGCACTGTTCACCATGAAGAATAGTAAACAACCCCCATGAATAGCACCGGCAGCTGAGAGGAAAGGGATGTGTAGTGGCATAGCGCTGGCTGCTGGCGAAAAAGGGAATATGCGGTGTACGGCAGTACTGACGTCAGCAGGCCATGATATACACGAGAGGGGGATCTAGGGGAAAGGTCACAGAAGGGGCCCATCGGGAAGCCTCGGGAACCCGCTAGTAGGTTCCAGAAAGGGGGCGTGGCCGGGGCGGAGCAAGGCCACACTGAGAGTATAAGAGGGGCCCCTGTGGGGGACCTCGTGGCTGTTGCTGGAAGTGAAATCCCCGTCGTGCTGCTCAAATCCATCGTCACCATTCTTCTCGTCGTCGTCACCATTCTTCTCGTCGTCGTCTCCGTCTTCACCAACTCGAGGCACCACTAGTCAGACAGCCTACCAACTGTTCTAAGTAGTGCCGCCGACAATAGGCGGTCTTAATAATAGTGTGTTATCTCGATGGAGCTTGCTAGATAAAGAAGTGCCTCCAAGTCTTACTGTCTCCGAGTTAGTCACTCCAGATGTATGGCATTATATTTTAATTTATTGAAGACAAACCGGCGAAAATGAATGTGCCACTGGGGGTGGCCAAGCGCTGGTGTTGTTGCCCTCCAGGAGAGTTGCCGTGCGGTTCCGTCGGTGGCAGGAACCACATGTGCGCGGCAAGCACCAGATCTCGCTGGGCCCAGGCAGCGTGCTGCCGCCTCAGCTCCATGTCCAGGGCATGCTCCGCACACGCCATCCGCCACACCTGGAACAACGGAAAAATAAAAAAAACAATCCGATTGTGAATTTTTTTTGCGTTTTCGGTTACCAACATCACCAACCGGCACTGACCAGCATGGTGAAAGTATGATCTAACAACCCTGATGACTGACACTAGCCGGGGGAGGCCTTCATCCAGTACTGGACTGAAAAGTACATTTTTGTTTAGATGTAGTTTGTGTGCAGTGGCCTGTCACATGACCAATCGTAGTTGAATGTGCCATGCGATTTAAACCTTCGATTGTCACTAAAAGTGAATTGAACTCGAGTATCGATATCATGGCTTTTTGAAACAATATTCAATTTGATAAATAATTACTGAAAACCCTAAATCACAATCAAAATTGCAGAGTTCTTGTCAGGAATTGGAAAATGCTTCACAGCAATCCCTGGACTATTCCCTCACTGTTACAAAGTTAACATCCCTCTTTTCCAAAATAGTTATCAGCATGCCGATATCAAACGTCTTCCGCCCATAACAGAGTAAGACGAAGTAGAGTGTTGATTTAAAACGAAAATTCTGTGCGGGCCTTTGATCCACGTTACAAATTGCTCATCATTGAATTTCGACATTTCTGAATTTCGTGGCCGGTGATCATCGCCTGGCACCAGCTGAAGCACTAAGAGAGAATTGTTTCCATGTGTGAAGTGCTTCAATTGATTTGATAGTAAATCACGTCTGCACACATACTTTTTTAAGCAACTCACCTGCACAATAGAATTATGATGGTGAACCAGGTTAAGGGAAAGAAGTTGTGCGATGGTGAAGTCTGCGGCAAAATCACCGCGCTGTCCCATTCCTGCAAAAACATGCACGCATGTGCACGCAAATGACCTGGGATAATTTGCCTTTGTGGATCTTACCCTAGCCTTTGCCAAACATACTGCATGTACATCACATCGTAAAAGGAGAGAGTTGTAAATCATACAAATGATATACATCGCATTTGTTTAGGTAACAAAGCATACAATTGTGTGTTTTTAATTAATGTGTTTATACAGAATGAAAAATGCAAAACTTCCAGCCACTGCTGAAATAACCTCATAGATGTATACATTCATCCATTGTATTGATTCTTGCTCTCACAATATATGCACCGAGAATCCTGTAAGAATTGATGACACTATGTATGTTTATGCAAAATATATGAAAGTGACATAATTAAATACATTTAGGATAATAAACAATATGGAATGAATCAGACACACCATAGAAGACAGCCAAAACAGAGGTAAAAACCCGAGGACCCGAAGAAATATCCACGTGACCACGGGGAGAGCATGCAAACTCCAAATACACAGGCGTCAGGATCGAGATCGAACCCACGACCTCTTGTATACCAGGTGAGGTAGTTAACATCTCGCCACCGTGGCGTGCATGTGTAACGTACTGGCAAGCACTGCCTCCCAGTGCCGGTCCTTGAAGAAAGTGCTGCCGAGTTTCTCCAGAAGCTGCAGGTTGTGAGCGAGTTCTCCAAGAAGGCTTTGGCATGCAATTAACACCGCGTCGTCCGACACCAGAGAGCCTTCAACGTGCAGCAGCGCAGCCTTCCAGCGCTCAACTTCGTCCTTTGCAGAGCCAACAGAAAACTGGGAAGGATAGGTGATGTGTTATTATAACTGTTAAAATGGTTTTCAAAAATGTGCCTTCTTCGTCAATATGTAAACTGTACAAAGTGTAACTACAATATACGGCAGTACACACGTCAAGAGACGACCGTACATACGGGGAATAAAACATCTAGGGAAAGTTCATGGAGGGGGCCATCTGGAAGCCCCGGGAACCTGCTAGTAGGTTCCAGAAGGGGGGCGTGGTGAGGGCAAATCAAGGCCACGCCGGGAGGATAAGAGGGGACCCTGACCGAGAGCTCAAGGCCGTTGCTGGATATGGATCCCCTTTGCCGAGCTGCTGTTCATCACCACCACCGCCCGCCGTCTTCACCATCAATGGTCGCCGCTAGCTAGACAGCCTGCCAACTGTTTAGTTAGATAGTGCCGCCGACAATAGACTGTTGTGTGTGTACAGATTCATATAAAAGTGTGCAAACACGTAGAGTGTGCATAGCCCCCATTGTGAGTAAAGAATAAAGAGGTGCCTCCAAGTATTACTGTTTCCGGTCTGCGTCACTACAAATACATCCATACTTCACAGCTCTTTGGAGAGCAGTGATTTATCAAGGTAAACAAACCAACCTGGGAAAACGGCTGGGCTGTCCAGTCCCTGATGGACTCAGAGCTGTGGTGAAACACTTTCCACAGAAGCAGCCTCGCACTGACCACCTTCTGGTGGGTTTGTACTGCAAATAAACTCACTGGCTCCCCTGTAATGGAACATATAAATTACAAAAAAAAGCTGCATTCATGTTAAATGCTTATTTGGATACAAAAATATGCATGAAACAAAAATTTAACAAAATAAACTTATGTAAATTGTCTTGTACACTCAATGCAAAAGGAACTGCCCAGAGCTTAATTCCTTACTGAATATTTTCCAGATTATTGGTAGAATAGAGTAGGCACGTGATTAGTAGTCATAGCCATAACGAGAGGTATAATGGATGTATTTTAATGGTTTTGACATTCATGCATGAGCACTAACGTTAACACACGCCCTGCTCTGCGATAATAAAACAAACCGGTAATGAAGGCTTTGGCCCGGCTTAGCTCATCCACGGTGTTGGCGATGGAGTCAATCTCAGAGCCGAGCGAGCTCAAGCGCGCGAGCTCGGCCGCAAACAGAGCCACGGGCACCGTGTACGGAGGAGTGGCCGCCTCAGCCGCCACTGCCTCCGCGTGGGCCATCAGACGGGACAAGGACGTGTCCGCATCCCGCACGGCGGCCGCCCTCATCGCCAGGACGAAGTTTTCGCCATCCTCAAGTACACGCAGGAAACCCTCCCATGCGGTCGTTGTCTGGTTGCCAGAGTGGGAACGCAGGTGTCACAGAAGCGGCAGGGCAGTGAAGAGAGGCGTGGAGGAGTGGATGCTGTTGTGTCAGTTTTGAGGCTGAGTGGTACTTCAAGTTGTATACTCTGTGTTGTTTGACCAGATGTGCTGATATATTCAATATAGCCTCTGAAGAAACTCCCAGCGGGTGAAGCGAAGAGTCGTACATCATGATAAACAACTCGCGGTACAACCCAAAAACACATTGGAAAGCTAATTTGCGTCAAAACCTCCTGACCAAGCTTTGAATTTGAGGCAGAGTTGCTCATTCAGCTGCGTGTCCCTTATCTCACCTGCCTCTCCCTTTCCTCCTCTTCATTAGACAGAGGCCGGAAGGTAACTCTCAAGACTTCATGCAGGGCGTTCACGTTCTGCAGCTGCGCCTTAAAGCCTCCCGAGCACTTCTTGAACTCATGCAACTGTAAAAGAGTTCAACGGGGGCATTGTTGTCGAGGGCTGTAATCAGGGTCTTGTTTGTTATTCACGACCAAAGCAGCTCGTCGCATTGTTACATTGCAGGAAGGGAAGGAAAATGGTATGTGTAGTTGACTGTAACTCACTACACACACGGTATGTTTATGATGAGATTATAATATCAATTTAAGCACAAGCAAAACCGTGAGTGACAACATCTGTAAACATATGGAGAGCCGTGTGCAAGCACACAGAGAGGGGAGGAAAGTGGTGCCGGTAAAAGTCAAAAATATTAAAAGCGATTTCCTGCTCAAATGAGCATCGAGGTAGTGTTCATCTCCTGTTTGCAACACTTACAGTGAGGGAAAAAAGTATTTGATCCCCTGCTGATTTTATACATTTGCCCACTGACGAAGAAATGATCAGTCTATCATTTTAATGGTAGGTTTATTTGAACAGTGAGAGACAGAATAACAACAACAAAATCCAGAAAAACGCGTGTCAAAAATGTTATACATTTATTTGCATTTTAATGAGGGAAATAAGTATCTGACCCCCTCTCAATCAGGAAGATTTCTGGCTCCCAAGTGTCTTTTATACAGGTAATGAGCTGAGATTAGGAGCACACTCTTAAAGGGAGTGCTCCTAATCTCAGCTTGTTACCTGTATAAAAGACACCTGTCCACAGAAGCAATCAAGCAATCAGATTCCAAACTCTCCACCATGGCCAAGACCAAAGAGCTCTCCAAGGATGTCAGGGACAAGATTGTAGACCTACACAAGGCTGGAATGGGCTACAAGACAATTGCCAAGCAGCTTGGTGAGAAGGTGACAACAGTTGGTGCGATTATTCGCAAATGGAGAAACACAAAAGAACTGTCAATCTCCCTCGGCCTGGGGCTCCATGCAAGATCTCACCTCGTGGAGTTGCAATGATCATGAGAACGGTGAGGAATCAGCCCAGAACTACACGGGAGAATCTTGTCAATGATCTCAAGGCAGCTGGGACCATTGTCACCAAGAAAACAATTGGTAACACTACGCCATGAAGGACTGAAATCCTGCAGCACCCGCAAGGTCCCCCTGCTCAAGAAAGCACATATACATGCCCGTCTGAAGTTTGCCAATGAACATCTGAATGATTCAGAGGACAACTGGGTGAAAGTGTTGTGGTCAGATGAGACCAAAATGGAGCTCTTTGGAATCAACTCAACTCGCCGTGTTTGGAGGAGGAGGAATGCTGTCTATGACCCCAAGAACACCATCCCCACCGTCAAACATGGAGGTGGAAACATTATGCTTTGGGGGTGTTTTTCTGCCAAGGGGACAGGACAACTTCACCGCATCAAAGGGACGATGGACGGGGCCATGTACCGTCAAATCTTGGATGAGAACCTCCTTCCCTCAGCCAGGGCATTGAAAATGGGTCGTGGATGGGTATTCCAGCATGACAATGACCCAAAACACACGGCCAAGGTAACAAAGGAGTGGCTCAGTAAGAAGCACATTAAGGTCCTGGAGTGGCCTAGCCAGTCTCCAGACCTTAATCCCATAGAAAATCTGTGGAGGGAGCTGACGGTTCGAGTTGCCAAACGTCAGCCTCGAAACCTTAATGACTTGGAGAAGATCTGCAAAGAGGAGTGGGACAAAATCCCTCCTGAGATGTGTGCAAACCTGGTGGCCAACTACAAGAAACGTCTGACCTCTGTGATTGGCAACAAGGGTTTTTGCCACCAAGTACTAAGTCATGTTTTGCAGAGGGGTCAAATACTTATTTTCCTCATTAAAATGCGAATCAATTCATAACATTTTTGACATGCGTTTTTCTGGATTTTTTTGTTGTTATTCTGTCTCTCACTGTTCAAATAAACCTACCATTAAAATTATAGACTGATCATTTCTTTGTCAGTGGGCAAACGTACAAAATCAGCAGGGGATCAAATATTTTTTTCCCTCACTGTAGGTAGTGTTCACATTATTGGTTCTTTTGGTAAAGTCACGTATAAGGGAAACAATAAAATAATAAAAATATAAAACAATTAAATTCTCACGACGTTTCGACTGCAACACAAGCAATCATCAAGCAATCATCATCACACTTGATGATGATTGCTTGTGTTGCAGTCGAAACGTCGTGATAATTTTATTGTTTTATATTTTTATTATTTTATTGTTTCCCTTCTACGTGACTTTACCGAAAGAACCAAGAATATGAATCCCTGCAGTCACAAAAGCTTTAAATAAAAATTTGAAAAATTAGGTAGTGGTTGAGAATTCCACATTCCTACGGCGGGGGCACTCATTTAGAGATGACTTCTATTAAGCCCAAACTCCCATGATTGCATTGGGGTTGGCTGCTCGGGTGTTTGTTCTGTGTCTCTTCTGTAGTCATCTCCAATATCCTCATATCTGGTTCCACCACATCCTTACATCTCACTACTCCTTATGTACGTATGTTGAACTTATTTCGCACCACACGTAGCCAACCGTGCTAATCGGAGGTGCACGGGAAGGACAACAAACGAAACACAAAAAGCAGTTCTGCCCTGCACCACCATCTCCGTAGCCCTTCTTAAGATAATATAACGTAGTGCATGTAAAACTGTACGCGTAGAAAGTTGTAGCCACAATGGAAAATGCGTGCGTCGAGCACCTGTTCCACATATCTAGCAAACGCAACGCAGTCCGTGTCCCTGCGGAGGAGCGAGTGTGTGGCTCGCTGAAGATCACTCAGCGAACGCTCAGCGCCATCTCTGCACCTCTCCTCCAGACACACCAGCACCTCCTGCTCCGCTCGCCTCAGTGGGGATACTGCACCCGTCGGACAGCGAGCACGCACCTACAGCGTTCATTGCACACACTTAGCGACCTGTATGTACGTATGTTGAACTTCTTTCGCACCGTACGTAGCCAACTGTGCTAATTGGAGGTGACTACCCGGAAACATATTTTTAGGTGTACACAGAGCTATGCAGTGATGACACTACCTTGAAGATTTGGAATGGTTTTAATATTTAAAACAACGCTATTACATTGCACATAATTAACGACCTTTACAAGTTTCCTTCATATCAAGGTATTTTTACTCAAATAATATTATGTTTGCAGCGCTTCTGAGATAATGATGTTGGTATCACAATACCTAGAAGTTTCACCAATCCTGGTATCGTGGGCTACGGATAAGAAGATAACCGCAGGTACTGCCCGGCAGTGTGACATCACGGGCACTGGCCACTCATCATCATCAGCCATAATCAATCCACTGCTGGTTGAAAGGCCTCCCCAATCCGTCGCCACACGGCTGCTATTGCCCACACAAGCACACCTATTTCACGCCGTACGACGGAGCAGTCGACGTGGAAGGTGTTCTTCGGGGTGAGGAAGGAGCCCGGAACAAGGGAGGCCTTCTGGACCCAGGCCCGCAACTCTTCCACATCCCCACAAAGCTGCTCAGGAGTGGCTCCTGCCAGGGCTGCACCGTCCCAGGCCTGGGCCACACGGTGCGGCTCACACAACCAATGGTGCTCCCGGCAAAACTCTGTCACGTGGCTCAGACAGCACTGCTGAAGCAAAAGAGGGAGGAGAGGAATCGCCTGGTGTGATGATTTGTCCATCGAAGCGAGTAAAACTAACGTGGTTGTTGCATCTAAACAACTCTAGGTAAGGAAACATTTCCCCCAAGAAGATGCAACTCCAACTGGGGTAATTTCATCTTAAGACACCTCAACAGCCAATCATGAGACTTTTAATTCCTGTCAGTCCACCGGTTTCCTAGCGTTAACTGTCAGAGATACTTTTACAATGCACATGCCGTCCTATTCTGCAGAGAAATTGAATGTGGTGGCCACTCTTATCTGTCTTTATAATAGTATAAGGATTAATGCTCTCTGCTGTGTCTGCGCCTGAATGTCCTTGTGTCGAGGTGTGGATTGTTACAGGAGCTTTGTATTAACGTGACGCACAGCCTTGGTCAAGTTGCATTCCCACTGACTCTCAAAGCTGTTGGCTCTCAGTTAACAAAATGAACAAACATTACTTCATGAGTATCAATGTAAGGCTCAACAATATGACATCACCTATGTGTCCTCACAAAAGAGGAAATCAAAGGGTATTGAAAATGGCTTGTGAAATGTACTCAGTAGAGCACTTTGTCTCGCAATATGGTAATTTGTAACATCAAATGTGATTATTCATTGACGTGAGGATGCTGCTTTAAGATGAATAAGAGGAAATCAAAGGGTTTGAGAATGAGATATGAAATACAATCATCATTGTCTCACAATATATCAACGTCAAACATCAATTCACGTATTTGTTGTGCTAAGATGATACTTTAAAATGCAGCTTTAAGATGAGTCAAACTTTACACTTGTTCGACTTTCTTTTTTTAAAAGGATTGTTCTCAGAACAATTTCATCATCTCCGGTTGGTAGGACCAGTAAACAGGTAACATCTGGGTGCAACATCTGAACTGTCACCGCAGCGTCCACTGAGACACACGCTGCATCACAAATGGACGGAACCATTGACGAGCCGTTGCAGTGCATGGCTGGCGTGAATGCTCACGTGCACGACGTCCATCTGCTCGCTACGAGCCCGGGAGACGGTTCCGTCGCCCTGCAGCGAGACTTGCAGGCGGTGCGGGGAGAGGGGGCAGAAACGAGCCCTGACGCGCGTTCCTCGCACTGACAGCTCGCTCGTCTCAGCCAGGGTTAACAGTGCTGCACTACCTCCTGGAAACCAATCACATAGCAATATATATATATATAAAAAAACATGAAGGTAAAAGTGCAGCCTTGCAATTGCTTGCTCATGTCACTGCTGATGGAAGGACCTCCAGTCGAGGAAGCTTGAAATAGCCCCTCTAAAGGGTATTTGGCCTCCACTTCCACACTGGCCAGATGTCTTGCAAGAGGTGGGAGTACACACACACTTTGCGCCTTGACAGACGTCCTGCCGATCGACTGTAGTGTTGAACCCATTTATACGACTGGACGGGCAGAGGAGGAGATATTAAAGAAACTTGCACCATTGTTTCAACTGCCGCGCCAGGAGATCATACCAATAACAGCTTGATTGCAAGCCGAATGTCCTGACCATTATAACACAGCAGTGTCCCTATGTGTTTAGATTAAAATACCAAGTTTGATTGGTTCAAAGTGAATATAAAAATGAAAATCACACACAAACTGGGATTTGCAATAATCGAGTCATGTTCACTCCCATGAGCACAGTCAGAAAGAAGCAACAGAGGAATATTACTATTTGCTTCAGATAAACCAATGCTATGTGAACTTCGTATTCATCGAAGGAGATTGGTGAGACTCAAAAGCCCCTATAGCAATAAACAATCTATTTTCTCAAAGCTCTCCTTTACTCTCCTCATAGCTTTCCATGACTGCATTGTATCCCTAGACAAACTGCACAGGCAGAGGCTCATTGTAATATTATACTTTTGGTACTCTTTGGTTCTATTCGGTAAAGTCACGTAGGTAAAAAACAAAACAACAAAAAATCACGACATTTCGGCCACAACACAAGTGGCCTTCATCAGGTGAAGGGACCAACCTCGACAGGTTGGCCAAAACGTCGTGATTTTTTGTTGTTTTGTTTTTTACCTACATGACTTTACCGAATAGAACCAAAGAGTATGGATCCTTGCAGTCACGAAAGCTTCAAATCTAGAATATACTTTTGGTGTTTCCTAAAAATAAATTGAATTTATATATAAAAGAAAATAAAATTCATGGTAACTATCATTAGTAGAGACACTCCTGGTATCTCTGCTGACTCACCCAAGTGGCCGGTGACCGACAGGTTGGCAAGTTCATCTTCCCCCATCTCATCAGCATTGCCCGTGGAATCAGGTGACTCGGTGTCTTTGGTCATGCAAGTGGCCACCTACATTGAGAATTGACACGCGAGTCCGATTTTTTTTCCTTATAATTTTAAACCCATTTATGCTACCAAGATGCACTAACCAGGTGAACTAGACATTGACGTTTTACCTTTAGATAGTTAGAACATATTATCTATATGGATAATGCACATGTTTCACGTAATTCTCCCTTTGCTCAAATGGAACTATTTAAGCGATTCCTTGGAGAAAAAAAAATGTAGTCACACGAAGAAAGCACAATTGTAAAATAAAATCTATGAAACTTTGCAAGTGCTATGCGCTCAATGCCCTCCTTTGTCGAACAGGCTTGGATTGGCTATGAACTCAATCTAACAGATCAGCTGTTCGCACACTTGCAAACAGTAACATAACCCTTGACCGTGAGACACTGGGCCCTGATAAGAGGAGGCACCAATATGAAGAATGCCGTTAGAGAGGCGTGAGCATTCCGCAAACATTTAAAAACATGCGTTTAGATTATTTGTATTGTTTGGTTGCTATACATTTCCACATAAGCCACTTCATTGAGCTATCATTTGTGGCCAGGTCGCTTCTAAAAAATAAGCGAACAGCTCAGTCGGCTTCACCTGCACTCCTATCGTGTTTTCATATTGTTTGTTGTTGTAACTATCTGACCCAAACACTACTGGATATCTGTGAAAAAGAGCTTTATAGCTCATTGGATCCCTCCAGGATAAATATAGAATCTGAAACCTCTTTTGTACCTGCAGCACAGTTTGGGTCATGTTCTCCACGGCGGTTTCCAGTGCGTCCACGAAGAGCCCCCCTGTAGGTGTGAGCTGTAAGTGCCCCTCCGCATCAAATTCCAGCACGGCGTGGAATAAGGGAGTCTGTCCTGAGGTTCTTCCCTGGATGGGACACAAGGACTATCTTCATAACACTCCCTGCAAATATGTATGCTGGGACATAGCCCAATACAATAAACATGGGCCAAACACAAAGTTTGAAAACGACTCCACAACTCGATTGCAAAACGATAGTAACCACTGCTGCTGCATGATTACAGCGAGATTTAACATCAAAGGAAAATGTAAATACTCTTTGGTTCTTACGTGACTTTACCGAAAGAACCAAAGAGTATGGATTCCTGCAGTCACGAAAGCTTCATATCAAGATTGAAATTGTAAATATTATGGTCTTCTCACGTAAGAAAAGGCGTGCATTGCAGTAACAGAAGTTAAATAGCAAATGGCTAATGTATATTTGGCCGCTATAAATTTCCACACGTGATAAGCCACTTCGTTGTGCTGTTGTTTGTGGCCAGGTGGCTTCTGAAAAAGAGCAATATAGCTCAGTGAGCCGTACCTGGTAAAATAAAAATAGTATAAGTTTTAGTTTCAAAGTATTTCACAGATTTTATGAATATTTCACATTACAGGCCTAATTGGGATAAAAAGGCATGCATTCAGGTAAGCCTCACTGAACTATAAAGCTCTTTTTCAGAAGCGATTTGGCCACAAATAATAACCCAATGAAGTGCCTCATCACGTGGAAATTTCTATCAGCCAAATACTCCAAACGCACGTTGATTCTAAATGTGGAGGGAAAAATCAGATGACCCAATCAAACATCCACACGACCATGGGGAGAATAAACTCAAAACATATAGCTGTAAGGGTCTGGATCAAACCCACAACCTCCTGTATACCAGGCGAGGTAGTTAACATCTCGCCACCGTGGCATGCATGTGTTGTATAGTACATCTTGACACCCAGGAGACTTGTAGAGCAAGACGGAGACGAAACTCATGTCAGGGCTTACGCCGTTTATTCACATCTGTTACACACTTTTATACACTCTGTTACCATCTCTACACTTGACGCTTACACCCGTTATGGCGCACGTTAGAACTCTGTCCTCTATGCGGACATCCCTCAGCTATCTACGCCCCGGTACAGCTTCCCTTAAGTCTACCCCCTCGTCTGCCCCGGGCGGGGGCTCACCCATCACCGCCCAGCGACGAGGTGAGACCTCTACATCTCTAGCCGTTCTTCGGCGGTGGCTGGGATGTCTTCCACACAGGCTCTCGTTCCTCTCTCTCTCTCACTCTCCCCCACGGCGACCACCTCACTCTCTCCCACGGCGACCACCTGACTCTCCCCACGGCGACCTCGCCGTCGTCACGGGGTCCCCCTTAAGTACCCCTTGGCGGCTCCTCCCCTTAGCTCGGACCCGCCCTTGTTCCCGAAGGTGTACCCCCTTACAGCCTCCGTGACATCACGTCATCCCACTACTCCTCTACACATGTGTAATGTACTGGCAAGCACTGCCTCCCAGTGCTGGTCCTTGAAAAAAGTGCATCATAGTTTATTTTTGTTACGGCCACCTCTTGTACTCGCCTGCACAACGCCGCGTGTGAAGCGTGTCGCCTCGCACTGCATCTTGCCGCGCAGTCGCTGCAGGACGAGGGCGTCCATCAGGTGAGCGAGACGGCCTAGGCGGCGCACCGCCCCCTCAGCTGCGCTCCGATCGTGCGCCGCGAGGCGCAGCAGCTCACGCCGCTCGGCCAGACCCTCCCGAGGATCCGACCGCTCCGCCTCGGCACAGCGCACCTCGCACACCTCCAGTTGGCGGTACGTCTCTGCATGCACCTGTCGTGCACGCGGCCCAAAGCGTGAGATGCTTGGAACAATCAAGCAACTCGTAATATATCTCTCTCTGATGTGTCTTTGCGTCGTACCGCGTGTTGCTCCCCATAATATCTGATGTATCAACGCGCGTGCTGGGAGCTTCTTTGGGAAATAAATTGGGAATCTGTTGCGGTCATGGGGGTTGTTTGACCATACTTCACCACGCTGGTCCGTGCAGGTTGCTGAAGGGGGAGCCCAGAACCAGCTCTGATCACTCGCCACTGATGGTAGTCGTGGCCGGGAAGCAAACTTATGTTTGTAAAAGAGGTTTCAAAGGTTGCCGCATGATTGTGGCATGCTTTCTCTTAAATACCAGTTCTGTGGCAGTTGTTAATATCTCCACGGCTGATATTCTGGGCCTCACCATACGGAAGATGACTTCACGACAGTGGAAGAACTGGATGACTCTCTCCCGAGCCTCAGCCATGGTGTCTGCAAGCGTCTGCTGGAACTGAGTCAGAGTGTACGACCGGTGCAGATCCCATGGCAAAAACGGGACCTGGTCCAGCTCCTCCAACAGCCTAACAAAGCAAGAGAACCATGGGGCACCATACAGAACCAGCATATAACACACCACACTGGTAATAGTGTTGAAGTATGGTCAGGTGAAGGTGGGGACCACATACTTAGGAGCATAGAAGTACAATATAACAATGTATGTTTCTGCACTGCCCTGGTGCCTGTTCAGCTTGTAACATCTGTTATGCACGGTATTCACCGAGCTGAGCAGTATGCAAGCCCAATTTTTCTTAGTTTCCGAGACCTGATGAGATTGGGTGCATTTCCAGTGACTTGGTCAGTAAAAAATTAACATTCAGCACTTTTTAAATTCCATATCAGTTAAGGCTTTGGTGAGCACTAATAGGTACCATGTTCTACTTTATATAGATCACAATGATCTATGTCACTGTTCACACTCTGGCCCAATTGTCCCATTCTCTGCACAGATAATGAACAGGTTGAGATGTCTTATACGATTCCCAAAAGGTTAGAGTAAGACGTCAATGCGCTATAAGATGTGTGTGACACAGCGTGAGTGGGAAGGATCCTCCACCTAGAAATCTGCAGCAGCGCAGTGCTAAAGTGACCAACTCCATGCAGCAGAGTACACTCCAGGTGCTCCTTCCTCCGGTGAAACTGCACCCATCGCACATTTCTGTACCACCTGCAAAGCAAAAGGTCAACAATCACTTGTATAACAAAAATATCGAATCATTGTTTTGCTAAAGTACCTTTAATATGTTTCGGCACTTTAATACACTTAAAGGTATAGTATTCAACTGAATAAAAACTTCACTCCACCGGTCACCAATCCACACTGATCGGTGCGGTGAAGTACATTGCATGGGGATGCCTTCATCTAGTAGTGGATTGACAAAGTGCTGTATGGTATGGTACGGATGACATCAGTAATCACAGAAATCTGGACCGAGTGGAATTAGCGAGGACCAGTGCTTGCTAAAAATACTAATGTAAAGAATACGGTCGACTCTGTCAAATGTGTTCTACCTGTGAAAGGCCTTGCGCAATAGGAAATGGCGAAAGTAAGGGATGGATTGGACGGCTCTGCAGAGATCAGCATGCTCACACCACTCAGCCAGAGGCTGGCTCTCAGCGATGCCATCCGCCTGCACGTGCAGAGCACCCAGCGGCGACAGCACCCAGTGCTCCTGGTGGCTCTGCCCAGCGTGCATAGGCTGCAGCTCGTAAGGCCTGAGCGTAGTCACAGACACCGCGCAGCACAGTGACAAGGACTGCTTGAGAAAGTGATGCTCATATGCAAGACCATTAATTGCCAGGTAAGACACGTGCACATGCAAAAATTCTATTTTTCGCCTGAACGTACTTAAATTTTTATTTAAAGCTTTCGTGACAGCAGGGATTCATATTCTTGGTTCTTTCGGTAAAGTCTCGTAGAAGGGAAACAATAAAATAATAAAAATATAAAACACAGCTTAAAGGTCGTGGTCTGAGCTTGGCTGTGTTCACTCCAGCGCTGTCCTCGAGACAGTCTGGTCCCTTCACCTGATGAAGGCCACTTGTGTTGTGGCCGAAACAACGTGAATTTTGTATTTTTTATTTTTGTTGTTTTATACTTTTATGTGACTTTACCGAATAGAACCAAAGAGTATGTAACATACATCATCAGGAGTGAAAACCACAAAAATGTTCTCGCTGTGGTTTTCACACCTGATGATGATTGCTTGTGTTGCAGTCGAAACGTCATGAGAATTTTATTGTTTAATATTTTTATAATTTTATTGTTTCGCTTCTACGTTACTTTACTGAACGTACTTGTTAGACAAATGCCATTAGCGAACTTCATTAGGCCAGTATATGACTGAAGAGGGTGCAACCAAGCCCAGCCACCTTTGTCTTCCCAGTGGTGGCTCTGACAACTACACCAGTCTGAGATAATATGTAAATGTATGGCCCTTTTGTCAATTCACTGCTAGATGAGGGCCTCCCCACAATGTGTGGGTCATGGGGATTATTTGATCATACTTAAACCATGCTGGTCAATGTGGGTTGGTGAAGGCAGGGAACATGAACACCGGATTATGGTACGGTACGATATCATGTGCATTCTGGGTGATTTGTTCATAGGCGAGCTTATATAGACGTAGGCGATGTTCTACATGTCATTTATCCATAATTATGTTTCTTGTATTGCCTATGTCAGGTATGCTTTGGTACAAAGTCTAGCTGTACATAGCTTGTATGGGAAAGACATTTCTAACGAATGTGATGATCAGGAGCTCTTTAAGGGTATAGCATCCAGACAAGGTCACACCTGTCGGGGGAGGTAGTGAAGCGAACAAACTTGAGCAAGCCCATGTGGCCGTCTCTGGCCAGGATCTCTGCAGCTTCAGTACCGGAGAGATGTTCCTGATCCAACCGCTTAGTTGTACGCGTATTGGAACGCTTGGCTCCATCTGTTAGGATAGGTGCGCTGCACATGTACACACCACGCAAACAGACATACGAGCACTCTGGCACATGTACAATGAATCCGATGCTCATGCCCACAACTCCAATATGTATGGTACGGTACATCATTATCAGCCATTATCAAGCCATCACCATCACTCACAGTCTTGTGCTGTAACAAACCATCTAGCACCTGCATATGGTTCCTACCTTTGGCTGCCACTTAATAATTAGTGTCGACTATCAACCACTATCTCTTCTAGCGACGTTTTCTTCTCAATACACTGGCTCACTCAGAGATGGTAGTAAAGCAGATATCTTAATCTCCATCTGTTTCCATCTGTACTGAGATTGAGTATTGCCCCCTCGCACGTGTGAGTTTTCTCTGGGTACCCTGGTTTCCTCCCACGTGTAAAATCGCTTATGAATTGAGTTGGCAAACATCTCAAATTAGGGCTACAAAAATTGTGCAATTATCGATTCCGATTCTGGCTGCCTTCCTGCGACACTGCAGCTAAAGAACACCTTTCGCATTACAAATGTGTAACTTTTTAACTTTCATGATGCATATTTTGGCATTTCTAATTCCTCCTTTTCTCATAAATAAATCCATCCTGTTAACAAGTCCACCATTGTGTGTAGGATGCTAGCCCGTCTCATAAGAACCTCTCAGCTGGAGGTTTGGGCACATCCACAGTCACAGGAGGAGCCTTCGGCGGCGGAGGCAGCTGCACGTTGAAGGCGGCCGCCATGAGCCCCGGGCTGCCCTGCCACACAGCCTCGGCACGAGCGGCCTCCATGCCCACCACGCCCACGGAGGTCTGCAGTGAGCCGAGCGTGACGGGCCGCGGGTTGAACCAGCTGTCAGGATCGTCAGCCGCACACTCCACCACAAACCGCTTTGCCAAAACATCACCACCTGGTGACAAAAACACAATAGTCATTACAGTAAAGTACCTGCAATCGTCATTAGGGACGTAACAATTCACCACTTCCACAATTTGATGAATAATGACCATTATATTGAGAAATATTATTTTTTGCCTTCGTGGCGTATTTATCATATTTTGTGGTAAGAGTGTACTATATAGAATGTATTGCAGTATAACAGGGAGCAGTGGTGCAGTGGTTAGCACACCGTAATATAAATCCAGTGACCTAAGTTTGATTCCCAGTTATGACTAACATAAGTGGCAAGTGATATCTGAATTGGTCTCTTGGTCCTCCTTCACCAATCCACAATGATCAGAATGGTGAAGTATGGTCAAACAACACCAATGACTAACATGACATGACGAGACTCTCGTTAAGCAGTGGATTGGCAAAGGGATGGAAGAAAATCGTGGCATAAACACAGACACATATCGGTAAAATGGATTATTTTACAGATTAATCAATGCATGCATCACAACAGACTTCAAACGAAAAGACTGGATGGCACAGAGGTCAGAATGCTGAGCACCACTGAGGACTTCGTTCTAATAATCCAGGCAGGCGCCTGTGATTCTCCAGTGCTGTAAGTTGAATAGTAACAGCGCCACTCACCAACGATGGCAAAAAATAAACCATCACATTCAATTTTATGTGCACTTGATTTGGCAAAATTCTGGCAATGAGAATAATACATTGCACTTTTAACACTCGTATGATACACATTAATTTCTGTAGCAGGACGGGTGGGAAAGTGCTCCCCCCTAATGTGTAGTGGACAAAATGTCACTTTGAAGGGATTTCAAAATTAGTTATTAAATCCATTTCTGTGGGCTGTTCTCTAACACGGAAGTTGCACTGCTCTCTGCGAGAGATCCAAATGGATGCGTTTTCTCATGGCACAATAGGGATAGAACGAAGGGAAAAGGCAAAAAAATTATCGTGAAAAAAGAGAACAAATTCTAAAATGACAATGCACACTGTAGGTAACTCCACAACCTAATTTAAATAAATGCCATCACATCACTATCTGTCCTTAACCTCTGACTTACCAGGCCAAGACGCGTTTTGTGCAAGTGAGGTTTTCAGCAGTGTCACTTTGTGAATACTATTCTTTTTTCAAAATACTTGCATACCACATAAAATACTGCATTACCTTTTGTTGGGCGCAAATCCACTTGGCCGTGAGATGGACCGTCATATTTCGTAGAAGCCTCCTCCTTTTCCACTCTGCTCATTTTCCTACAAAGATACATCAAGTGTGCAACTTAATACAACAAATGTGCAACTTATACAGACATCAACAATGTACATAAGCAAATACATTCTGTCACAATATAAAGCCAACTTAAACAGAGTGTGTGTGTGAATTTTTAATGTGTACGTTAAGAGTACGTCCAAACAAATTATTTTTTGGGAAATGTCTAGTTCACAAAAGCCTTGCAACAAAGGTGGATCAATAAGTTGTACGATATTTACATTCATAGCACAGTATGCAATCAGGGATATTTTCCTTAAGGATAAAGACGAAAACACAAATGAATATAATAACGAAATGGCTACCTCATTCACAGATGTAATTACAGAATCGGAATGTTTATTTATCCTGTTAGCAATATTGCCCATGTTGCTTACATTTGTCATGACAGGGTAACACCTGCTGGCATGACAGGGTGACACCTGCTGGCCTGGGAAGGGATTCACGGGTACGGGCACAGAGGTAACAACCAATCAGGGAAGGAGGTGTATCTGGGGCAAAGGTAACAGGTGGGGTTAGCCGAGATTACTCCGGGAAAACTGCTCGAAGGTTCCACGAGAGGGCGTGGCCGGAGGCAGAGCGTGGCTGGAGGCGGGGCCTAGCCACGCCTCGGGGAATATAAGGGGGAGCGGATCCCGAGCTTGTGGCTCGTGTGTTGGGTCCTGGCTGTGTCGCTGTTCACCGACATCTCTCTCCACGTGGAAGATCTCCTGCATGGTTTTCATCGCCGTCATCGTCACACCGCCAGCCAGCGGCGTGGCCGAGTGAGGGCGTGGGGACCACGCCGAGCGATCGGCTGTTTGTAGCCAGTAGAGACGTTAATATCGCGTGTTGTACTCAGTGGGAGGAAGAATAATAAGTGTTGGTCAGTGTTGTGCCCAGTGTGAGTAATAAAGGAAGAAGTACCCTCAACACGACATGTCGCGGAAGTCGCTCATTACACATTCATGACGGCCGTCTGCATGCACTAAAGCCTCTTTATTGGGAATGTTTATGGCGAAATTATGGCCACGTTACACACCTCATGTCTATACACGGACATAACACTGCAGCACATACATGACAGCATATACAAGCCTATGATACAGGTGGGGGATGCTATGTGCAGATACATATCGCACAGAGTCCTGTACGTGCAGTACGGAAATACTGTACTGTAGTGAATGTACACACAGAACAGAGGTAACAGCAGTAAAGCAATTCAGTAAATGCAGTACTCTTTGGATGTGTATGTTGCAATTAAACTGCAGTCATATACTCAGAGCCGAACCCGATGCCCGAATGCTGCCCTTCGTTGCTGTTGTGCCGAATGTGGGCAATTTGCAGAGCTTGCAAGGCACTCGTGGCCGTGATCCGAAATGAAGTGAGTCGCTGTTGTGTCCAGTGTCAACACGTGGCGTGTAAAACAAATATAAGAATAGGTTTGACCCTTTCTGGTAATATAACAGGTGTTAAGATTTTGATTTAAAGCTTTCGTGACTGCAGGGATTCATATTCTTGGTTCTTTCGGTAAAGTCACGTAGAAGGGAAACAATACCCTACATTGCGGGGATCACAAAAAAGATCTCCAAAATCTTGAATAAACACAAGATCCAGGTCCGATTCAACACATTACATAAAATCCGTGATCTGGTTCCGTCTGTAAAAGATGTGATTCCGGAAATACAGTACCCTGGCGTCTACAAACTAAGTTGCCTCTGTGGTAGTAGTTAGATTGGAGAAACCAAACGACATGTCTTGGACCGCATTTGTGAACACAAAGCAGACCTAAAATACGGTAGGACCAACACCTCGGCTGTGGCAGATCACTGTTATAATTCAATAGGCTCACATGACATTGACTTCTCCAAGACAGAGGTTCTTTGCAAGCCATCTGGCTACCATGAGAGATTCGTTCATGAGGCTATCCACATATACAGAGAGACAATTTCAACAGAGAAGATGGATTCTGGCTTAGCAATCATTGGAAGGATTTGATAAACCATTTTGGGTCTTAATTGATTGTTCATGCTTACGGTGGCTTTCAGACCGCATCCATTATTTTCGTCTCCCCCCTCCTCTTTTCCGAATATAGATGGACTCGTCCATCTGAATAACTGCCAAATCGCTCTCCGTGGTGCTAACGTAAAAAAACGCCACTTTTTTCAAATTTTCTTGCTGTGGTTTTCACACCTGATGATGATTGCTTGTGTTTCAGTCGAAACGTCGTTAGAATTTTATTGTTTTATATTATTATTATTTTATTGTTTCCCTTCTACGTGACTTTACCGAAAGAACCAAGAAAATAGGTGTTAAGATGTTCAAACACCAAATAGAGAAACATTTTCGCAAGGAATCAAGTACTGCATTAACCACACGTACTTTGTGGTGAACATGCAAACAAAACATGCTCTGATAAAATGATGCATTGTCTTTGAAACTGATTGGACAGCAGCCTTCTGTATGGCCTAGGCTCACCGCCAGTGTCAGACCAGAGAACAACGCCTAAAGGCGAACAGTACAAAGACAATGCCACACGTATCACAGAGCAATTATAGCTCTGGGTGAGCAGCTACAAAATGGTGATATTTTACTTTGATGCTGACAAAAAGGTCACATTACGTGGCGTGTAGTCGTGCAATCCTAAAAAAACAGCGGGTGAAGGGGGAGGTTGTGTACCGCATGCATCTGACAGCATAGAAGTGTAATATATATAATTTATATGCTCACATTAACCTCTTCCTCAACCCCCCCTTTTGGAACTTCGCACCTGATTGACCCAAAACTGACGATATCACATTTACCCCCTCCCCCCATCTAGTTAAGAACGAAACAGGAGGAGGATTTCTCGTCCACAACTCTGGTGCTGCCTCTGGTGCTGCCCTGCCTGACGATGCTGGCTGCCCTGCCTGACGATGCTGGCTGCCCTGCCTGATGATGCTGGCTGCCCTGCCTGACGATGCTGGCTGCCCTGCATGATGATGCTGGCTGCCCTGCCTGATGATGCTGGCTGCTCTGCATGATGCTGGCTGCCCTGCATGATGATGCTGGCTGCCCTGCCTGATGATGCTGGCTGCCCTGCATGATGATGCTGGCTGCCCTGCCTGATGATGCTGGCTGCCCTGCATGATGATGCTGGCTGCCCTGCCTGATGATGCTGGCTGCCCTACCTGATGATGCTGGCTGCCCTGCCTGATAATGCTGGCTGCCTTGCCTGATGATGCTGGCTGCCCTGCCTGATGATGCTGGCTGCCTTGCCTGATGATGCTGGCTGCCCTGCCTGATGATGCTGGCTGCCCTGCCTGATGATGCTGGCTGCTGTTGTTGTTACCGGCGAAACGTCACTGTACTCGAATTGTAAATGTTGCTGTGTGTTTACTCTCTTCAACACACAACCGATGTGCCGTGATTGTAACTAACTGGCCACGTTTTGTTTACGTTACAAACCCTTACCAATTGGCCGTGTCGGGTGGTGGCGGGGTTTAACGACACATCTATTAACTAGATTCGAAGCTTTCGTGACTGCAGGAATTACTCTTTGGTTTCCTTCGGTAAAGTCACGTAGAAAATAAAATAATAATAGAATACGACGTTTCGATTGCAACACAATGATGATGACCGTGATGACGCTTGCTTGTGTTGCAATGGAAACGTCGTATTTTATTATTATTTTATTTTCTACGCGACGATGACCGTGATGACGCTTGCTTGTGCTGCATTCAATGTTATTTTACCGAAAGAATCAGAGAGTGTCACATCTATATATTTACGCGATATAACGCCAACCTCCTCTCTCCCAACGCCCCCCCCACCCCCCTCCCCTCACCTATATCGCGAAGCATATTAGTACCGTACAACACCACCACCACAACAACAATATTATTATTATGTTATCACCGTCCTCTGCACACACAAAACGACTGTCTTGCTACTTTCGTGCGCGGCGACAATGTTGTTCATTCCCTGCGCGGGTACATTAATCACACTCACGCGCGCACCGCCGTGCATCATTGTGCACTGTCATACAATGATTTTAAACATCGTAAAAATTGATGTACTCACGGAGGGGAAAAGGGGGTGGTAAGGGTGTCGTAACTCGTTGTCCAGAGGCTATTTTGATCGTCGCTATTGTCAAACGAGGCACTGCGTTACAACAACAACGAGCGAATGCGCTACGCGCGGAACACGCGCGGCTTGTGGTGTGCTGTAACACACGCGTTGGAACGCGCTTCGTCTCGCATCTTACATCGTACTGAGTAGTTAGGCCGACTTGTGAGGAAGCATTGTGCTCCGGCAATGCTGTCCCGTCGAAGTTTATATAATACGGCGCAACCGCTATGTTGACGAAAGTGCGAATTCGCTGTTACCGTACATCTAGGGAGGTTACAGTTTTCAGTATACGAGTCGCTAGCAATATTGATGCTAGAGTCTACACGATACGAGACGCGAGTATTGTGTATATATGTGTTTTAATCTACAGTGTACGAGTCGCTGGTACTGCGCTGTAGTGTACAGTGCTGGAGTCGGTGGTCAGTGGTGCCGCGCGTTTCGTTGCTACGCGACGCGGAGTGCGGCTATGGCGAGACGCGGAGAGACAGCACACACACACAGTACACACAGCACGCTACACACAGTACACAGTACACACACACAGCACACACATACACAGTACACACAGCACACTACACACACACTACACAGTACACACACACAGCACACACACAGCACACACATACACAGTACACACAGCACACTACACACACACTACACAGTACACACACAGCACACACAGTACACACAGCACACTACACACACACTACACAGTACACACACACAGCACACATACAGCACACATACAGCACACACAGCACACACACACTACACACACAGTACACACATACACAGTACACACAGCACACAGCATACACAGTACACACAGTACACACACACAGTACACACAGCACGCTACACACAGTAATCACACACAGCACACATACAGACTACACACACACTACACACACAGTACATACATACACAGTACACACAGCACATACACACACACTACACAGTACACACACAGCACACATACAGCACACACACAGCACACATACACAGTACACACAGCACATACACACAGTACACACACATACACACAGCACATACAGACTACACACACAGCACATACTACACACACACTACACACACAGTACACACATACACAGTACACACAGCACACACAGCACGCTACACACAGCACACTACACACACACTACACAGTACACACACACAGCACACATACAGCACACACACAGCACACATACACAGTACATACACACACTACACACACACACTACACACAGACAGTACACACACACAGCAAACACACAGCACGCTACACACAGCACATACACACAGCACACACACAGCACGCAGCACACGACTACACACACAGCACACACACTACACACAGCACCCACTACACACAGCACACACACACAGACTACACACAGCACACACACAGACTACACACAGCACACACACATACTACACAGCACACACACATACTACACACAGCACACACAGACTACACACAGCACACACACAGACTACACACTACACACACAGCACACATACAGCACACACAGCACACCACACACACAGCACACACACAGACTACACACTACACACACACAGCACACATACAGCATACACACACAGACTACACACAGCACACACACAGACTACACACACACAGCAAACACACAGCACACACACAGCCCACACACAGACTACACACAGCACATACACATACTACACAGCACACACACAGCGCACACACACACAGACTACACACAGCACACACACAGACTACACACACAGCAAACACACAGCACACACACAGCACACACACACAGACTACACACAGCACACACGCACACAGCACACAAAGAGCACACGCAGCACACACACACAGACTACACAGCACACACACAGACTACACTGCACACACACTACACAGCACACACACACATACTACACAGCACACACACACAAACTACACAGCACACACACAGACTACACAGCACACACACAGACTACACTGCACACACTACACAGCACACACACATACTACACTGCACACACACTACACATCGCATGCACACTACACAGCACACACACACAAGAGACGACAGCACACACACAGACTACACAGTACACACAGCACACACTTATAGCACACACAAACTAAACAGCGCACACCTACAGTACACACAATACACAGCACACAGACTACACAGCATACAGCTACAGTATACAGCACACACGTACATCACACACCAACACAATATACATCATGAGTCTACAGCACATAGTACACACACGCACACATGTTCTAGAACAGTGATTCTTAACCTTTACTGCACCCTTGCACTCATTTGGTTCTCAGTCGTAAAAACAATGTGTTAATAAATACATCGAGGGTTTGATGAAACAAAGTAGTTGCACTTCCCTTGCTTAATTTGTGTTTCGATGATTTACCTTCTAAACAAATCTGAGCCATGTCTCGCACCCCCAGAAAGGGCATCTCGCATCAACCAGGGGGTGCGTGCACCCCAGGTGAAGAAGCACTGCTTTAGAAGAATATAGATTCATAAAATCACACAAAGACGTAATTCCCACGTCATGTGACGTTTTTAACATCACACAGCAACACCCCTACAGCACACTTCTATGGCACACAGTATACACCTGCAACTATTGTAAATAAATTTCGATTTAAAGCTTTCGTGACTGCAAGGATTCATCTTCTTTGGTTCTTTCGGTAAAGTCACGTAGAATGAGAATAAAATAATAAATTGATAAAATAAAATAACACAATAATATTCTGAGAATATTGTGTTATTTAATTTTATCAATTTATTGTAAATAAAGTCAGTAAACCCTATAAGCCGCCTTAAAGTTTCACCCCTAAACGAGTTCATGGTTCAATAGAGGCTATGTGTTTTAGGATTGTAGTGCTGTGTAATAATGTTAAGCGGTGGTTATCAGAGAGTAACGTGAAGCAAAATCCATCATTGTACTGTGCGTCTAAGCTCCTTGCCATCACCAAGCCACGCTGATTAGCGTGGTGAAGTATGGTCGGATAATCCCATACCTGTCAACCCCTTATCAGTGCCTACCTTATTACAGACCAAATTCAGACCTTATTGGTCACCCAGTGCCCTTATAAATCACAACGTACATCCTACAAAGCCCCATCACAAGGGAGAAACACAAATAGACGAAAAAAATGGTTTTGAAACGACTTTACGCCGTTTGGGCCTGAAAACTTAATTCCCCTGTACAAGAATACGGGGTAAAGCGTATGGGTTGACAGCGATGTAGTCCCCAACCCATATCGCATGCCATGAGTAGGGCTTCATATCAAGCAGTGAATTTTACAGGGTAGTCCAGATATCTTGTGACTCATTTTTAATGATCTGAAACGTTATCTTTGTGAAGAAAAGGTTTACTTAAAACAGAAATCGATAAGCAAAGGAACAAATAGTTTAGGGGTCAATTAAATGGGGGTCACATGACATCTGGCCCGCCCTGTACATGTACGGTACTTTGACTCACTCTTGCAAACGACGCTGTATTTGCAATGCAGTACTACAATATTGCTTCAAATTGATATTTGAATTGATAGATTCGTTGATTGGTTTCTACGTGATACCACAGTTGTTGATTGAATTCAGTGCCTAAGTGAAAATTTGGACTTTTAAAGTTTCAATTAAACTATTTAACACGTAGGCTGTCGCGACCAATATTATGCATAATAAACATTTTTGGGTTCATTAACCTAGCTTTACCTGACCAGCTGAAAGCTCATTGATGATATTCCATAACGGTAGATAATTCTGAGCACATCTGTGAATTTTACAATTTCCCAGGTGAGTAAATATTTGTGATTTGGAGGAAGTTACGATACTTGTACAGTGCACAATTACACTCTTACGAATAATAATGATTACATCATCACAAACATGATCTTCAGCTAAGGTCCATTATATAGCAGGCAGAATGCTTGCTCATCACCAATGTTTGAAATATTAACATTCCCATCTTGGGTCGCAAGTCTACCCCCCAAGATTATACTAATTTTATCGAGGGCAGATGGGCTGGCTGACTAGGATTTAAACTCAAATTTACAGCTAACGCTCTAATACTGCAAAGTAAAATAAAAGCTATAAGAGCAAGCACAAAATACTCTACTGGACTGTGCCAGGGTACGAACCGTGCCGTTGTTGCTTAACAGTAAAATCCGAACATTACAGGGGCCGGTCTAGATGAGATGTGACACGTGATCAGGTATGCCCCCCCCCCGCCCCGCCCCACTATCAGCCGCACAGGTAACGACCGTCTCCAGGAAAAACATAGCGCCTACCACACACACACACACAGCACGCTCACCTGGCTTACAACACACCCAGTGTACAGGTAAGCACACCTGGCTTACAGCACACCTGATTCTCGAAGGACGCCTGGTCACAGCACACGTGGATTCAAGCACGTAAACCTATATTTCATACAGCACACCTAGTATATCGTACAGGTAGGCGCACCTCTTCTTACAGTACACCTGGCTAAACTACATGAGGAACACACGGAGTTTCCAGGTGATCACATTTGGTTTTCACAGCACACCTGGCTGACCACACATCTAGTTATCACAGTAGACATCGATCACAACACACCCGACTTAATATACGGCTGGCTCAATTACTTATAACTCAGCCAGTGTACAGGAATACACACGTAATTTCACAGTACACCTAGCTCGTACATACAAGGACGCGCAATATACAAGCACACCTGGCTTATAACAATCTTGGCTTAACTATGTAAGGCACACTCAATGTACTCGTGGTCACATCTGGCTTACAGTACACCTGGGTAAATTGCATATACTACAAGCAGTGTATAGATATGTATGCCTGTCTTAAAAACATGGCCCTCAACCTGGTGTACATCTAAACACACCTATAAGAGCATAGAAAATCTGGCTAAATTACTGTACATTCCACAATTAATTTTCACACGGTAAACCTAGCACATATGTGGACTGCCTTACACATGTTAATTGGCTTCAGATCATACATTGAACTCCAAATGAGTTGACCAGGAGATGGCAGTACAGACAATGAATTAATTATCCCATCTGTGTGGACCTTTGAGAGTTGTCTTCGTTTGCATGCATTTTCTTCAGCTGCTCAACTTCCCTTACACGTGGAAAACACTAAACACTCAAACATTCCAATGTGGACGATGCTCCTGAATAACAGTTTTAAAGTCACAGGCTTTCCTTGCTAAATAAAGGGCATTATTATGTAAAACGATTATTGCTGTATTAAAACGTTACTCACTTGCATGCTATACACCTGTCGCACAGGTATATGCACCTGGTTGGTGGCACACCTGTGGGAAGCTGGCATTACTCTGACCTGGGAAGCACGCTGAAGCTGAGGGAAGACATGGAGGTGGGAAACTCGATGCTGGACGACATGGCGAGGCTGCAGCTCCGATTCCTCGAGAAGGTGAGGGAAGGGGAACGCGAGGTAAGGTGAGGGAGTGCCTCACCTTACCTCGCGTTTCCCAATGTCAAGTAGGTGCCATACGAACAATAATACAGCTCAATATCAGGAGTCTAATGTGATAGCAGGTTCTGCCCATCAATCAATCCAAGATTTGTAACACGTAAATATTACAAAAAAAATCTGAGACGGAAACGCGGGTGGCACAGATACATTTTGTTACTAAACAACAGGAGAGAAAATAAATGTCTTAAGAGCACCGATTGTCACAGCTGCCGAAAGGTTTTTGGAGACCCGGGGGAAAATGCCAGATGAGGCCCGATCCTCGGCCTTTCTGCCCATTTTTAAGCCCCCTTGGACCTGAGGCCCGAAACAAAATGCCCCACCAGCCCTCCTCTCTATGGCCCTGACTGACAGCAGTAGCCTCCATGACACACACATTTGTATTGCTAGGTCCTTGTGAATGATATTGAAACTGGCAGGATATGTAGCCAATGTGGGTCCATGTTGAGTAACCAAGTGGGCCCTTGAGGGATTTTTCAAAGATACAAGCATGCGGCTTCCACTTACTGTCTAAAAGCATAGCGGCAGCGGCTACCCTACTAGGGTTGCTACCTCTCCTGGTTTGACCGGGCGGTCCGTCCATAGGTACTGGTGTAGAGACATACACAATGTACAGACAGCAACAAGAGGCTGGCTTCGATAATGAAAATGACTGTATACACACTCTATATAATTACCCATTGATTCATCCTTTACATTGACCACACTGTTGCAAAACAGCATCATGTGCAAGAGTGAGTCATCGTGTACTAGTACCATAGTCCATAGTTAGTAAACATGCATCCCTGAGTCAATCTATTGCTGGATGCAGGCCTCCCCATGCCGTGGACGGCGTTATGGTTATTTGACCATACTTCACTGGTTATTGGGGGTTGGTGAAGGGCAGGGTGGCCCTGGTCCAGTGAAGATGTCACTCACCGCTGATGTTAGCCATGGCTAGGGATCGAACTCGAACTAGGTTCGTCACGCTAACAAATGCATCACGGCTCCCCAGCGAGAATGTGGATGAGTCATCTGCCACATCCCAGATCGAACCAATGGTCTCAGCAGTGCACCGCTAACATACTAATATGAGCTCATACTCTTTGTTTTTTTCGGTAAAGTCACGTAGGTAAAATAAAAATAAAATAAATGAAAACAGCTAAATTAAATCACGACGTTTCGGAGGCAACACAAGCTTCCGTCTTCAGGTGGAACAGTCACGTGATACAGCTATTCTGCTGTGACTTTTCCACCTGAAGACGGAAGCTTGTGTTGCCTCCGAAACGTCGTGATTTAATTTAGTTGTTTTCATTTATTTTATTTTACCTACGTGACTTTACCGGAAAAAAACAAAGAGTATGAATCCTTGCAGTCACGAAAGCTTCAAATCTAGAATTAATATGAGCTCCTCCAGCTGAGATAGGGAGGGTGGGGTGGGAAAATGCTTGACGTAACTTGTCATTAGTTCAATGAGGTCCTGAGGGAGCGCGCCATGCCATATCGACCAGTGCAACAATCGTCGCATGGTTGACCTTTGGTTCGCACGTTCTCAGTCCTACGAATCCCGGCTGCTAATGGCTCACGATCAAAGCAAACATCTAATTCGAGCTATGATCAATGGTTTGCTCGCAGCTCCGTCCATTGATGTCTTCGCGCGTGACCACGGTAACCGTGATCACAGGAAATCCACGGCCTTGTGGGTGCACACTTAGGGTTGCTCAGCCTGAGAGGCTCACCCAATTACGAATCTCCTCTGTCTGCCCAACTCGACCTGAATGAACAGGTCTGAACCTCCCCCCCCCCCCCAGGTCAACTGAAACTGACGTGAAATCGAAGGGAAAAAAACGTGGTCAAACTTATCCTCCATTTCTCACTATAATGATGGTACAATGGTGATAACGATGATAATGGTGGTGGTGGTGATGATGAGGAGGAGGAAGGTAAGGAGGTGGAGAAGGTGGATGAGGATAACTCCGGGAGCCAGACTGAGACCGAGTGAGCCCTATTTGTCAGAGCCCAGCTACCCAGCAGCCAGAGCCCTATTTGTCAGAGCCTAGCTACCCAGCAGTCTACTCTTGGCGAGATACCTTGCATGATATTCAGTTGTCAAGGCAAGATTGCAGGAGTGATTATTGAACCCAACACTTAGGTCTGGCTTTAAATGACAGCAACCAACAATGCTCAACTTTATTTCAGACCGTATCCAGACATCAATTTTGAAAGTTAATCACAAAACTGTTACTTCAAAACTGCAACGTCAATTGAAGCCATTCAAGTCATGCCCCCTCCCTTCTCTGACATCATGGAAAAAAGGTTGAGGGCAGTGTGTGTTGCCATTTGATCTTGGTCTATATAAACGTACATAACACAAGAAGGCTTTCCATGATGGAACCTAGAAAATACGACTACCTGCATGAATATATTATCGATTATTAAAATTAACATTCTACAATAGAGCCTGACCACCTAGGTTCGAACCCGGTCCACCTCCAACATCAGTGGCAAGAGTGATATCTGAACTCCGACTAACACGGTTGGCTATGTACGGTGCGAAAGAAGTTCAACATTTAACATGAACTGGTTCTGCTCCCTGACCCTGTCTGTTCCTCTTCACCAACGCACAATTCCACACTGACCAACGTGAAGTGTGGTTCAAGTAGCTTTCACGATCAGCACTGTCTGGGGATACCTTAATCCAGCAGTGTATTACGCGAAGAGCTGGAAATTATTGGTGTAAATAACATAACTATTATTGTTCCTAATAACATCATCTTCACCAATGGCCTATAAGGTTAAATGAAGGATCCCTTGTATATGTCTGTGTGCAAAGAGGTTGGAGCAAGAAGCACAAGATGAGGACGATATTCCTGATGATTCAAGTCGACCCGAAAGCCCAGAGCCAGGTACTGACGTCTGCCCTGTGACAATGCACGGAGCCGATGTGTGCAAGGGCCATCCCGCACTTCTTATTTGGCATTGGAGTCACGTGCATTGTCGCTGAACAGAAGCAGAGTTAAGTTATGTCAAAGAGGAGTGGTAGCCCTTGATAAAAGTCAGGGCGTCATTGCAGTTGGGTATGTCCGGTCCGGTGACCCAGAAAACATTTCCAACGTTCAGTATACCTCTCGAGATGACTGTGGCTTACTAGTGTAGTGACATAGAATTGGTCACAACGCAGCATGGCGCTGGCTGCTGGCAGGGAAGGGGATCTGCAGCTTGAAGCAGCCCTGCCTGACAGCAGGCCACGTGATAGACCAGAGAGGGATCTAGGGGAAAGGTTACGGAAGGGACACGTCGAGAGCCCGCTAGTAGGTTCCAGAAGGGGGGCGTGGCTGGGGCGGAGCGAGGCCACGCTAACAGGATAAAAGGGGACCCCGAGCGGGAGCTCGGGGCTGTTGTTTGGCGTGGGATCCCCGTCGTCGTTGCTGCTGAAGATCGTCGCCATCGCCGCTGTCGTCTCGTGCCTTCGTCGCTGTCGTCTCCATAATTGCGCTGCTGGACGTAGTTGGCTGTCTTAGTTCAGCGCTGTTCGTGTTCAGACGGCTAGCGTCATGTTGTAGGCTAGCAACCAGTGTAGAGCTGCGTATAAGCGAGAGATGGAGAGTGTGTCACAGTGTAGGGTGCTCGGTGTTTAATTAAATAATTGCCTCCAAGAACTTACGTCTCCAAGTCAGTCACAACACTAGCATCGTGCCTACTCTAAAGTTTACCAGCAGTCTGTAAAATATGCCATGAAAATCTTGGATATATCAGTGGAGAGGTAAAGGATTATGTATGTATGTTGAATTTCTTTCGCAACCATACGTAGCCAACCGTGCTAATCGGAGGTGCGGGATGATGATGACGATGATGACGACGAATGGTGATGATGATGATGACGATTTGTGGCAATGATTATTATCGATGAGGATAATGTGGTTTGTGTTGTTGTTGTTGCCCATGACACGGGCAGGAGCCCCGGTGGCACGAAGGGCACTGCACAGTGCACTACAGCGGCGTTCCGAGCTCCTCCGTGACTTGCGAGTAAGCCCATGTGCATCCCCACTGGCATACCAGCCAGACTTTACACATGCAACACAATACCACGCAGATGTTAGGCATGCAATACAATGCTCCACAGACCTTGAATACATAACGCTGTACTACCCAGACCGTACACTATCACACCACATGTTACACAGGCACAACACAATAGCACCCGGACATTTTATACACAATACAATAGCACGCAAACCTTACATACAATTGCAGCTGCACCTTCCTCAAAATATCGCATCACTCAAAACCTCGCACACAATTCCACAAAAACAAGCCAGACCATACATACATGCCGTCTCACATTCGTCTCTGCCACCCGTACAATACAAAATCATGTCACACAGTCGGCCCCGTGCACAACTAGAATGCTACTCAGATGCAATGCCAATATTACGTTACTACATACACACTACCTACCACGCAGGGACACTGGGAACAATGACTTATACGAGCTTGTGAATGTAACACAGGTTTTAAGTGTGCTGTCACTCAGCACCAAATGTGTGTATCATGCATATGGGTTCGACTGGTCAGCGGAAGAGTTTGCATTAATATTTCTGTACTGTACTACTACGCTCACCACTCACCGTGCCCCATGTTTTCATGGGGAAGCTATTACCTTTAACGTGTATGTATGTACTGTATGTTGAACTTCGTTTGCACCATACATAGCCAACCGTACTAATCGGAGGCACGGGGGAAGGACAGCACACTAAGCATCGGGCAACCCGGCATAACATTTATTTAAACTGGTCACACGCCGCTGATGAGGCTCACAAAGTTGAGATTTGACCCGAGCTCGCATGCTTGAGCCAACTCCACTGGAAAGCAATCGATCTGGAAGGCATGTAGGCTGCTGGATTCAATGTTATTTTAGTTTTACGTGGAGAAATAGACCATTGTCAATTATTGTACTGTGTTAGTTACAATTCACCGCTACATCACGTCGCAACACATGTTGTGTAATAAAAAAAAATGATATATTTGTAAATGAATCAATCCACCGTTGGATGAAGGTCCTCCGCATGCTGGTGTCGGTCATTGGGGTTGATTGAGCATACTTCACGACACTGGTCAGGGCAGCTTGGTTAGAATACCCATCGCTGGTGTTCTAGCCTTGATAAGAAATCGAACTCAAGTCATTGGGTTAACGGTGCGCTCACCGCTGTGAGCGCACTTTCATTTCACCCGTTCTGCTGTTCGTGATTTGAGCAAAAAATTGCAATGAAACAATTAATCGTATTAATTTAAATCAATTCGTATGCTCATGATACATGCATCAAACCGTGATTGTAAAATATTATATGCAATGAAAAGGCCAACACATTTATTCAATAACGCTACTTTACAACACATTTTGCACAGCGGCCCATCTTATTTGCTATTAAGAAGGGTAATTGCCCGAAACGTTGCTCATTATATATATTTTTATTTCAAGGCAGTGTTATTGACGAATATGTTGAGTGTTTTTTGCTCTTATTATTAATTGTGCTTGTGCACAGCTGCCAATGCAGCAGCAGCAGCATCACCCAACAATGTAAGTATAATGTGTTTACCTCTCGAGGCGTTACGTTTAACTAAATGTTAAACAGAATCGATCTTGAAATGGAATGGCCACCACACGAATGTGGACGACTAAAATCGAATGACACGTCCAGTATTGATCACTGCTGTCCATCCCCGGGGCTGGTCGGCAGAGGGCGACTCTCGATCACACAACGGAAGCGTGGAGCCGACGATACTCGCAGAACCATTGATGCCCGCCCTAGGTCGATTCATCGTCGGCGTAAGCACCGGCACATCATCATCAAAATCAGCAATGAACTATCCACTGCTGGATGAGAGCCTTACCACGCGGTGTCGATCATGGTGGTGGGGGGGGAGGGTTTTTTTGCACCATACTTCACCACAGTGGTCATTGCTGGTTGATCCACAAATACGACGAAGGAGACATCACAGCGATGATACAACTCCGGTGCTCCTGACGCGGTTGTCTGGGCTTTACCGCCTGAATGTGAAATTGTAGTCGTTGCTGTGCATCTACATCAGCAGAAGAAGAATAAGAAGTTCCGGTTGATTAAGGAGAGCCCCAAAGCTCGTTCAGATCTCACTCACCACTGATGTTCAGCCGTGGCTGGGAATCGAACCTCGGTTTCACGCAAATAACCACTCACTGCCCCACGTGTCGCTGTAAAAGAACAGGACCCTATATCAGTTACGTTGGTGCCAAGCTTTTGATGTCAAATGTCGCGTCTCTGAGTTATCGCCTGGCTCAACAAAAAAAGACCCTGAAACTCTAACAATCTCGATTTGAAGCTTTCGTGACTGCAGGAATCCATACTCTTTGGTTCTTTCGGTAAAGTCAGCACGTAGGTGTGAGATAAAAATAAATCACCACGTTTCGATCGCAACACAAGCGGTCGTCCTCAGGCGGAAAAAAATATAATCCAGCAGTGAATTGCTGAACCAGCGACAGGGCTGTTACAACAAGGTTTATATATGTGGCGATGGGCAAGCAAGTGGGGTCTGAGCTGGAAAGCAATTCCATCCACGGACGCAAGCACGCCAGTTGTGTTAATGGGGGAGATTAGGGAGAGGGAGATTAGGGAGAGAGGGATTAGGGAGAGAGATTAGCATGAATGAGCTTCCGTCGCCGCATAAGAGTATCATGCCCGCATATGCGCACAACAGCAGTGTTAATGAGAGATTAGCACCATGAGTGGTGCAATCCAAAGGACATGTGAGCATGAGAGTGAAATCTAAAGGGCATGTGAGCATGAGAGTGCAATCCAAAGGACATGCGAGAGATCTCAGAGAGAGGCATGGAGAGAGACACACAGAGAGTCGTAAATAACAGCTGACATAGGCAGGTGGAGTTGTGGTTGTGGCAGCAGTTACATTGGGGAAACGAATCCCTCTCTCGCTAATCTCCCCCATTAACACAACTGGCGTGCTTGGGTCCGGGGGTGGAATTGCTTTCCAGCTCAGACCCCGCTTGCTTGCCCATCGCCACGTATATAAACTTTGTTGTAACAGCTCTCTCGCAGGTTCAGCAGTTTCACTGCTGGATTATATTTTTTCCGCCTGAGGACGACCGCTTGTGTTGCGATCGAAACGTCGTGATTTATTTTATTTTATACCTACGTGACTTTACCGAAAGAACCAAAGAGTGTCTAACAATGGTGATTTGTTACGCGGTATTTGATCAAGTTTACATGTGACATGAAGTTATCGAACATCTAATCAGGTACCTTGATAGTTTATCGGATTACAAGACTTGTATGTACGGTGCTAACATTACCAAAGCAAATATTAACCCGCCACAAACACTTGTCCTGTAGGTGGGAGAACAAGTGAAGGATAAGCATATTACAGTACGTGGTATGTTCATCTTGATGCAATAACACAGGTGGTTTTAAAAGTTGGTAACGCTATCCGTAATGTGCTAAAACTTAGTAATCCGATGTTGGGATTGGGCTTTTATTGCTGTAGGGTAGAAGGTTAGTTCAGTGGCAACACGTGTGCCTCATAGCAAGAACTACCTGGGTTCGATTCCCGACTCGGGCGCTTTTCTGTGTGGAGTTTGTATATTCTCTCCCATGTTCTACATGAGTTTCCTTTTGGTATCATGCCATAGCTAACAAAAAGCACACACACACATACACACAACGTAACTGGCACCGGTTAAACCACCCCAATGCTGATACAAACACTGTACCAGCAATTAACTCAACTGCATGAGATTACACAGCAGCAACATCGTCCGCTACTGCGGAAATTCTGCAGGACTCTCACGAGAATAGGTTTTGTGAGGCTTCCTTGAGTAAACAAATATCATGATATGAATCTTAACTTACAGCTTTCGTGACTGCAGGAATTCATATTCTTTTGGTCTTTCGGTAAAGCCACGTAGATAGAAAAAAATATCATTTGTATTATTTTTCCCTATCTACGTGGCTTTACCGAAAGACCCAAAGAATATCATGATATCGTGATTTATACTGCATTTAGCGCAGTGTTCTTCACTAATTTTCAGAGGGAGGGGGGGGGGGCACTTTCACCGATAATGTGAGGGGCCGCCACACCGCCTGCAAGGTGTGGTGTCATATGTTGTGTATTGTCGGGGGCCAGTGCTAAAGGCCACCAGTGGCCCGCCAGTGGCCCGCCAGTGGCCAGCGGGCCTTGCAATAAAGAACACTGCTTTAGCGTCGCACTCCACAGGAGGCGAATTACTTAGTCGACTGACTTTGTAAGCTTAGAGTATACTAAAATCAAGCTACGTAATATTATAACTTTTGAATAAGCCTGCCCCATAGGTGAAACCGTTCCCAAATTCCAAAATGCTGGTTTTCAAATAATTTCTGTTTTATAGATCGACTCGAAAGCTGTATACTTGTGCCAAATTAGAGATTTCTACCTTCTCGAGTAACGCTCGAATTTAAATCAGTTCAATCATGCTCGTAAATATCAGACAAGAACGTGAGTAATTTATGTTTGTCATGTTAAAATTTAAATCAACGACTGTGTGTATTTTATAGCGTGGGCCAAATTCCGGATTGATAGCCAGTTACACCAGTCACACGCGATACGTATTAGACAAAGTTAAAGTGCGGTTGGCGAGTACCTATTGAAGCCGTGTATGTATAAGCATAGACAATAGTTAGCGATTTGTTTGCCAGTTTGTGTCGGAACGCCTGGCAACTCGTGCAAACACCACCAGTGACGCGTGCGTAGGTGTAGGTGTACGCGTGCGCGCGTGCGTGTGTATGTGGAGAGCGGTGGCGCAGTGGTTAGCTCGCTTTTGCTACGAACCCGGCGACCCGAGTTCGATTATTTGGAACGGACCTGGGCTTCCCCAAAGTCGACTCAGCATCAAATGAGTACCTGGTGTGGCGTGTGAAAATCACCACTAGGGAGATAAAGACCTTCTCTAGGCGTTCGCGAAAAGCACTTTCCACAATAAGTCTGGTAAGGCTATCAAGGGA